ACCAGGTGGTAGATTCATGAAGAACCCAGACTCCAGAGCCAAACTCACAGGGACATCCACTGTGTAGTTATGGGACCTCAAGTAAGCTCCTTAACCTCTAAGTGCCTCGAATTTTGGTTGGTTGGTTTGTTTGTTTGGGGGTATCAGAGGTTGAACCCAAGGGCACTCAACCACTGAGCCACATCCCCAGCCCTATTTTTTGTATTTTATTTAGAGACAGGGTCTGACTAAGTTGTTTAGCATCTCGCTTTTGCTGAGTCAGGCTTTGAACTCACCATCCTCCTACTTCAGCCTCCCGAGCCACTGGGAATACAGGCATGCACCACCATGCCATTTTTTTCACACATAAAATGGAAATAACAGTAGCAGCCATCTTATGGGGTTACTGAAATGATTAAAAGACCTAAGAAGAGTTCCACTAAAAAAGCATTAGGCAACTTACCGAAGCGAACACATTGCACGAGTATTACTACTCCACATTACACACTTATGAACACTTGTAGGGTCGGCAACAGTACTAGGCAATTCATTATCCACTTTGATCCTCAGTGACTTTGGCGGGGGGGGGGTCATAATTATTCCCATTTTACCGATCATTAGACTGGGACTCAGAGAGTTGAACTGACTTGTCCAAGGTCTGCCATCTAACTACCAAATGGTAGAGACAAATTTAGGTCTGTCTGCCTTCCCAATTCTTTTCAGCACATGACACCATGTTTCTAAATAAAAGCTTTCCAGAATCATCTTATTAGAGCAAGATGAGGCTGCTTGGAGCATCTCCTCTCCATCTTCCCAGCAGAGCACACTAGCCCCATCCCTTTAGCTTGGCTAGGAGCTGGCTGGCAGGCTGGAATCTGTGTCTGGGTGGCATCAGTGCACAAACGATTGGGAACCATTCCAAATTGCAGAGAGGGCATCATCCACTGGGGTATCGGCGGAGGCTGGATTTATCCACAGCTTCTTTCGGCTTCCCCAAGGGCCAGCGCGAGTTCTTAGAAAATTCTTCCTCAGGTCTGGGCAGAGGCACCTGGAGGCTCGTTGCTCCTGTGCGCCACCTTGAGGGCATCTCGGTGACTGCACTGCCAACATGCAGTAACTGCTCTGGCCAAAGTCCAACAATTCTGACAGCAAGGTTACGGGCATAAGATTCAAGTGCAAGTCCTTTCCTGTCACCACGGTGCCCTTCCTGGTCGGTTTCTTGGTATTCCAGCTACATCTATGAAAGCACCATCCTCACTTTTACTGCCATGCGTTTGCGTGTGTCATTCCGCTGCTCGGGACGCCCTCTCCTGGACTGTCTGCCCTGCAAACGGCCATGCATCTTTTGATTCCCAGCTCAAAACTAATTCTGCCATGAAGTCTCCCTTGACTACTCAAGTCATATCGAAACGCTCTCCCTGCGTTCCCTCTGCGTGTTATATCTACTCCCTTCTAAAAGCCCTCACTCTATGGCCTGTCTCCTCATGAGCTGTCAGAGCCACAAAATCAGAGACCCTGAGCTTCAGTTTTGCCTGGCTTTAGATGCTGTGAACAGGTGGGTTACAAAATAATGTTTGGGGCCCTCTTGCGTCTTAGAAAAATATGAATATGTTGCCAGTGTTGAAAACTTGGAGTTTCACATGAAAATCTAGATGTCCAGCTTTCCTCAACACTGGAAGATGGCCTGGCATTGTAGGGTGTGCCTGTAAGTCACAGAGACTTGGGAGCCTGAGACAAGAGGGTCACTTAAGAGCAGGAGTTCAAAGCCAACCTGGACAACAAACCAAAACCAAAACCCTGGAGGAAATAGCCGAGGGGGTCTGCATTTCCCAAGGCAATAACCAGCTGAGGCTAGGGAGCAGCTGCCTCCTTCGCATAGGCACGTTCCCTCTGGTTTGTCATGGTCTCCATTAGTCACTCAGGCTGCACACATGCCCTGGATCCCTGGAGGATGTTGAGTTTGCAAAGATGTGCTTGCCAAATGCATGCATACATGAATGAATAAGATACGTGAAACAGTGCAGAAAACAGTCTAAATAGAAAAAAAAAAGTGAATTTCCAAGACTTGCTTGTGTCCTTTAGGTTGCCCACCCCCAATACCGAACCAGCAGGAAATAGTACAACCTCTAGAAGAGCAAATATATTCTGCTTGACTGACTTTTAGGGGGAAAAACGCATTAGTGGAGAGAGCCAGGAGACTTTAAGGCACTGAAGCAAAGTCACGAAAGCGGTCTGGAGGCATCAGTCCTACATCAAGGTCAACTGTTTTGATTACAGCATCAAATCCAGAATGGATGAATGGTCAGCATTTGATTTGGGGATAGGACAACTGTTCACTTAACATCTATGGTCCCTGCCTACTAATTGCCAATAGTGTCTTCCTGCCCCCACCCCTCACCCCCATTCAAGTCATGACAACCAAAAAGTGTCCACAAATGTCTAAGTGACTCCTGCTGAGAACCAGTGGTCTAGAAGCAAGATGATATTGAAGCCTCTGTTCCTAGGCCTGACCCATGGCAGACATTTCTAGTCGGGTGCATTCATTAAGATGATTCTCCTGATTAAGAACTTCAGAGACAGGACACAGCTTCAGGCTCCTTCTCCAAGGAGCACTCCAGAGAGCCTCCACCCCCCAGCTGCGGCCACCGGGTTGGCATTGTGTCAACATCTCAGGCCTGCTTGTTCTTGATGATGCCGTGGATGACCTAATTTTTGTGCCCTTACTCCTCTTTCCGATGGCAGTCTTACTGGTACATTAGGCTTAAAACGATTTCAGTTGTCACACATAGTATAGAGGCCAACACCCTGCTTGTTCCAGCAGGCCTCTCCAGACTTCAGAATGGCACCTGGACCCTCACCATTGGACTTGATCCACCTCTAAGCCACCTCCCTGTCTGCCTTACTCTTCCCCAGCCCTACTTCTCCTACTGTTCTGACTTTTGTCCTCCCTCTTGGGCCATGACCCACGCTCACTCCTTTATCTACAATCTCTCTTGGGTGATGTCACTTTGGTGATGTCACTTTAAATGCCAGCTACACACTAATGACTCTGTAATTTACATTTCTGGCATAGACTTTCTTCCTGAATTCCACCCTTGCATAACTGTTTATTCAACTTCTCTTTGAATGACTTAACGCATACCTCAAATCCACATGTCTAAACCTGAACTTTATGTTTTTTTTCAGTATTGGAGATTAAATCCAGGGTGTTATACATTGCTAGGCAAGCACTGACTTACATCCTAGGCCTCCCCCTTTTTCTTTTTGGTACTGGGGATTGAAAACAGGGGTACTTTACCACTGAGCTGCACTCCTAACCCTTTTTATTCTTTATTTTGAGATAGGGTCTTGCTAACTTGCTGAGGCTGGCCTCTAATTTGCAATCCTCCTGACTCAGCCTCCTAAGTCACTGGGATTATAGGTGTCTACCACTGTGCCCAGTTCCCCATAGTCCTTTTTTTATTTTGAGACAGGGTCTTACTAATTGCCCAGGCTGGCCTTGAACTTGTGATCCTCCCACCCTAACCTTCCAAATAGCTGAAATTACAGGCATGTGTATGCAGCTTCCAAACCTGAACTCTTGATATTCCATCCCAAGCCCGATTTCCACACAGTCTTCTCCATACCAATTAATGGCCACTCCATCCTTGCAGATGCTCAAATGAAAAATCTTGGAATCATCTTAAATCTTTTTCTTTCATATCGCACATCCAACCTGCCAGGAAATCCTATCAGCTCCTTTACAAAATAGATCCTCAATCCACCCCTCCTTCTCACCTACACCTCTCCCACTTGATCCAAGCCACCATTATATCTGGCCTGAATCATCTCATTGGCCTTCTGACTGGTCTCTGCTTCTGCCCAGGGATCCCTGCAACCATCCTCAGCCGGAAGGATCCTGGTAAATATGATTTGATTCCAGTGCTCAATGCCTTCCAGTGGCTCCCATTTCTAAATGTCCCCTCCAACCCTCCCCCTCTCCCAATCTGCTCCCTCCACCTCCAGTGTCCCTGAACTCTATCAGACTTACCACCCCCAGCTTGAAAAGACCCTGATATCTGCACCAGTCACTCCCTCACCTCCTTCAAATTTTTGCCCCAAGGTCACCTTCTCAACACAGGCTTTCCTCATTCCTCTGATGAACATCCTCCTCTCCCCTCTGCTTTCCTGTACTTCTGGTCACCTCCTGAACCGCTGTGTGACTTCTTTACTGAATGTACTGCCTGTTGCCACTCAGGTGGGGACTTTTCTTCTTTTGTATCTCTATTCCTGGCACCTGGAACACTTCCTGGACGCAGCAGGCCCTCGGTACTATTTTTTTGTTGTTGTTGTTGTTGTTACTGAGGATTGAACCCAGAGGTGCTTTAACCACTGAGTCACATTCCCCGTCCTTTTTTTAAAAAATAATTTTATTTTGCTTATGTGTTTATGTGGTGCTGAGGATGGAACCCAGTGCCTCATAAGTATGAAGCAAGTGCTCTACCACTGAGCCACAACCCCAGCCCACCCCACCCCCAGTCCTTTTTTTATATTTTGTTTAGAGACAGGGTCTTGCTGAGTTGCTTAGGGCCTCACTAAGATACTGAGGTTGGCTTTGAACTTGTGATTCTCCTGCCTCAGCCTCCCAAGCCACTGGGGTTATAGGTGTGGGCCACCACGCCCGGCTCCCTCAGTAAATATTTGATGAACCAATGTCTGGATGATTTGTGAACACCCTTTAGTGGACATCCTAAGCAGTTCAGCCCAAATGCAGATACGTCACTCCAGAAAAAGGCTTTTAGGACCTCTGTCCTTTCTGGGTTCAACTTGACCTTGAGAATGTTTCACAGATGAAGGAGCAACAGCACCTGGTCAGCTGCCCCAGCAGAGAAGCCACTCCTGTGGGGCCTAGAATTTAGAGGCAACATGATGCATGCGGTTTCCTCCTCCCCCTCCTCAGGCTTCCTCCCTTAAGCAGAGAGGGGGACACCTGCTGAACGCCCTAGGACTTTTACAATGGAGAAACCGGTGACTTTCCTTACCTTTCCATCGCAGGCCTTTTTGGAGAGGAGGTGGTGGAAGACTTGGAGTCCACAGAGTCTCTCCTGAAAGAAGAGAGATTGGAGGTGAGCCGTCTGGCAGGCTGGACCAGGGCTGATTCCCCAGGAGGCTGGGAGAAAGGGTCCTGGAGCGAGGCCTGCTGGGGGAGGATGAGGACCCACCTGGCCAGGGCACCTGGAGAGGGAGGTCCAGGCAGTGCTGGCTGCTCACCCTCACCTGTCCCGTCCAGTGAGGCAACAGGAGGGGAGGAAACCAAGGCCTGAAGATCCCCTGTTCTACCAGGTGTCACTAATTACTCACAACTAGCTCCCAGCAGGCCCCTCTCCTCCTGGCTGCTAGGCAGGCCCTGGTGGGCGCCTGTTCTCATCAGCAGCCAGGGAAACCGAGAGATGGGTTCCAGCCACCCCTGCAGGGCACGGGGGAGGAGGCGCAGGGAGAGAAGTACGGAGACTTTGAAGACACCGGAGCTGAGTTAAAATGGTAACTGAAAGAGCAGGGGACAAAATTAGATGTAGACTGTGCTGAAGTCACGCAAGAAAACCAATGTCCAGGAGGGAAAAGGATGAAAAGAAAACCTACCTGAACGGTAGCTACAGCCACTGTTAGGGGAGGGTGTGGAGATGGGGGTGAAGTTTTTTTTTCTTAATTTTCCAAAATGCATTTAACTTCATTATTTTTATGATTATTCTTCCATTTATTGGTTTTATAAAATTAATGTTTGCAAACTGCATTTCTACTCCCCATCTCACCCAATTCTTCTAAGTCCATGGCCCATGTCACCTTCTGACATGGTACATGATTGACTTTCTTATTCTATTTTTCCCTAACTGCCCTCCAGGAAAATTCCACAAGAGCAGGGTTGGGCAGGACTTGGTCACTCTGCAGAGTCCAATGACCCTTGGGCCCTCCATCTGCCAGTGTCCCAGATCCATGGGCTTCCTCCTCAACCTCCCCAGGGCCTCTGCATTCAGGGTTTCTCCAGGCCAGCCAGGGGTGCTGTCTGTCAGTCCTGGAGAGGTGCAGACCCCAGGAGCCGCATTCAAGAAGACACATGGGGACTGGGGATAAATACCCTGGTTGCCTCAGCCCTCGGAGGGATAATTTGACATATGTTTTCCAATGTCACCCAGAGTTCCCCAGCAGGATTTAAGTCCCAGTGCCCACGCCAGTCAGCTGCTGGGCAAATCACACTGTTCTAGCTTCCACCCCGTCCCTCTAACTTCTGTCTCTTCTGTCTTGCTTCCCACTCCTCTATCCACACCTCCTGAATCACTTCCCACAATACCACTACACTTGAATCTGCGTGTCAGGGGCTGCTTCTGGGGAATCCAATCTACTATGTGGCCAGGCTTATTCCAAACACACAGAATTGTGCCCGGCACCAAGTAGGTGCTCACCAAGTAGACGCTGAATGCTGTGAAATCGAATGTGCAGAAACATCCAACTAGAAAGGTGGAAAGGAACCTTTCCAGAGGTAACAGTTACTAAATTTATTTATTATTTATTATTATTGTTTACCGTACTGGGGATTGGATCCAGTGTTCTACCTCTGAGCTATACCCCCAGTCCCTCTTATTTTTTAGAGACAGGGTCTCAATAAGTTGCCCAGGCTGGCTTTGAACTTGTGATCCTCCCGCCTCAGCCTCCCAAGTCGCTGGGATTCCAGGCCTGGGCCATCGTGTCTGGCTGAGAGGAGGGAACACGAGGCTCCAGTCCAGAATCCCACCACTTTCTGGCCCTGCTTCTTCTTCTTTTTTTTTTCTTTGTTGAGCAAACCAGAAATATCTAGTTATTGCAAACATTCATTTTACAAAAACTATCCAGAAACATGAAAAAGTGCTTAGACACCACAGGAACATTCCTAAACAGGAGACAGTCGCTTGCACTCTCTCAGTAATGCACGCCTGAGTTATGTAGGTAGATCATTTGCCAGAGGTGATACACTGAGGGGAAAGGTTTCTGATCGTTATTTCAAATTTCACGAATGTGGCTACGGTGTCTGTATAATAAGAAAGTGTATAATTAGGAAAATGACAAAGAAAGGAAGTTCATCAATTGAGCAGAGGTAGGACCCCTGCCCCTTTGCTTCTCCCAGCAGAATGGGGACATGCCTTCCCATGCTCTGTTGAGCCCCAGTGACATTTCGGAGCCCGAGGCTATGGAAGGTGAGCTGGCGAGACAACTCGGCATTCCAGGAGAACAGAACGTGTGCTGCAAATTTTATTAAGAAAATATACATGTACACAGAGACGTTTTTACAAGACTAGAAATATAGACATCAGCATATTAACAGTGGTCATTTCTGTTATTCTGCTGTTTTGTTTTCTAAACTTTTTACATGAAACATGACTTACTGATGAAATGAATAAATGTGTGTATGTGAAAAGGTTACAAAACAGCATACAGAGTATAATTCCTTTTTTTTTAAAAAAATAAGTATTTTATGAATAGTGATGTATAGGAAAAAGTCTAGAAGAAATATAATTATGTATATGTACACACACACACACACACACACACACACTCTAGGAAATAGACGACTTTTTTTCTTTTTGTAGTGCTCGGGATGGAACCCAGGGCTTGGTGAATGTTAGTCAAGAGCTCTACCACTGAGCTATTCTCCCAGCCCCCATACGTATTTTTAAAAATTTTTCTACAATGAATAATTGCCTGTATAATAAAATAAATTATAAGACAGACTATACAATCAATATAATTAATATGTTCCAAATAAAATATTTCATTTTTAAGAAGAAAGAAGTGAGATAACAATGTTCATTTTTCAGGCCACAATAACAAGTCTCAGAGACTAAGGGGAAGAGTGAGAGATCAAGGTCAGTCCAGAGCCTGGCTTTCTGCTTTCCAATCGCCCCCTCTTCATACTGGTTATCCCTGAAGTCCTTTAAAGAAAATTCCTTTCCTGATCATCAAGTAAAAAACCTACACATGATCTGGCTGTCAGCTTTTTTTTTTTTAACCTCACTTTTGCTGAGGCTGGCTTTGAACTCACAATCCACCTGTCTCAGCCTCCCCAGCTGCTGGGATTCCAGGTGTGTGCCACCACGCCCGGCTTTTTTTTTTTTTCGAGACAGGGTCTCACTAAATTGCTTAGAGCCTTACTAAGTTCCTGAGGCTGGCCTTGAACTTGCAATCCTCCTGCCTCAGCCTCCTGAGTCACTGGATTATAGGAGTGCACCATCACACCTGGCTCAGGCTGTCATCTTTACCTGGATGTCTATGTTCACTATTCTCCAAATCAGCCCCATAGTCCATTAGGTCTCCTCTCCCAACAGTTCAGCCCTTTATCTTTCAACTTCATCTCACAAGAACCCTCTCCATTCTTGTCCCTCATTTGCCAAGGTGCTTAGAACCCAAAGGTGCTCTGATATGGCCAGACCTGTTAGTGGAAGGAGGTCCACAGGGCCACACGAGCAGTACTAGCAGTGCTCACTAAATGTTCACTCTGTGCTTGGCACTATGGGGGCAGTCAGGGCATCCTGCCAGGCACCCTTCTAACCCCTCTGGGAAAACAAAAGACACCCATGTGGAAGTCCTAGGCCAGTTGGTGTTCTCCAACTGGGACACGACTGCAAAGGAAGCAAAATAAAAAGAACAGAACACAGCACATGGCACAGACAGTGTGACTAATACACCATGTGATCATTACGTTTTAGAAAGCAGACCGTGAAGTTGGTGATAAGTTTGGAAAACAAGTCAAAGACAGAACAGAAAGAAACAATATATACCAAATATTGAGTACTTGTCTTTGGGTGGTGGGAATGTGGATGCTTTTATTTTACTTTTCTATATTTCCCATGATTTCTACAACAGATTTTCATTGCTCTTATTTGTTTACTTCTCAAAAGTGCATTGTTTTTCTGATTATTTCAAAAGCAATACAGGATCATCATGGAGAAAAACTGAAAATAGAGATTTTAAAATTTTATTGTGAAATATAGAAGGTAAAGATCGTCTTAATTACAATCGCAGAGATATATCTTTTGTTTGTTTGTTTGTTTATTATGGGCACTGGTGATTGTGTCCAGGGGCACTATACTACTGAGTTAAATCCCCAACCTTATTTATTTTTTTGAGACATTCTCGTTAAGTTGCTGAGGCTGGCCTCACATTTGAAATCCTCCTGCCTCAGCCTCACCAGTCACTGGGATTACAGGTGTGCACCACCACACCTGACTACATCTTTGTTTTAAAAAGTTGTTTCAATTTTTTTTTAAATTACATCTCTAGCTCTTTTTTTATCTACTATCTATCTATCTACTTATTTATTTATTTTGTGGTGCTGGTAATTGAACCCAGGGCCTTGTGCATGCAAGGCAAGCACTCTACCAACTGAGCTATATCCCCAGTCCCTCAATATTTTTTATTTCAAAATCAGTACATATGGGCTGGGGCTGTAGCTCAGTGGCAGAGCACTTGCTCGCACATGTGAGGCACTGGGTTCTATCCTCAGCACCACACAAAAATAAATAAATAAAAATAAAGATATCATGTCCATCTATAACTTTAAAAATGTTAAAATTTTTTTTAAAAATTAGTACATATTTATTGGAAAAGAAAATTGATATAAACTTATTGAAAGATAAAAAAACAAGAACCTTCTCAATGATACCATCCAGAAATAACTGCAATTGCCATTCTAGTCTTCTTTTCCATGCATATTCAAAAAATTCACTTTCTCATTTTTATAACAACAGGATTATACTATATTATCTACATCATTCACATTCTTTCAATACTTAGTGAACATTTCACCATATCATTAAATATTCTTCTGTCCTACAGCATTTCTCCATGTGGGTCCCACTGGTATTTTTTAATTTTTTTGGGGGGGGGGCGGTACACTGAACCCAGGGACACTTAACCACTGAGCCATATCCCCAGCCCTATTTTATTTTCTTATTTTGAGACAGGGTCTCATTAAGTTGTTTAGGGCCCCACTAAATTGCAGAGGCTGGCTTTGAACTTACGATCCTCCTGCCTCAACCTCCCAAGCTGCTGGTATAGGTATGCACCACCGGACCCAGCCCCACAGATATTTTAAACATTAATAAAGACAGTCATTCCTCAGTATCCACGCAGGATTGGTTCCAGGAACCTCCCATGGATACCAAAATCCACAAATGCTCAAGTCTCTTACGTAAAATACCATAGTATTTGCACATAATCTCTGCCCACCCTCCTGTATATACATGTATAGATTACTTTTAAAATACAACCTAATGTAAATGCTATATAAATAGTTGTTATACTATGTCTTTTAGGGGGAATAATGACAACAAAGCCTGTAGATGTTCAGTCCAGGCATAATTTTTCCCCAAATATATTTGACCTATATTTGGTGAATTTACAGATATGCCATCTGAACTCAGCCTCTGGAGCCACCGAGATTACAGGCATGTGCCACCATGCCCAGCGGACCATGTAATCTTTATGCTTTAATGTGGTTGATTTTTTAAATGAATTCTTCATAGAGGATGCACTGGGTCAAAAGGGATGCACGTTGAAAATACAGAAATGACCTCGTTAGATGTTATCTGATACCATCCCCCTTATCTACAAGATGGACAAATGTAACCACCCATCCCCCTAAGGAGTTAAGTGATCTTCTGGTTACACAAGGAACAGGTAGGTTTTGAGACTGGATCGCATGTTGCTCAAGCTAGCCTCAAACGCCCAGGGTCAAGTGACCCTCTTGTCTCAGCCTCCTCAAGACTTATTTAGAAGTTCATGAAGGTTTTAATCTACTGTGAAGTTTATGGCCTTTGAACCTGAGACTCATGCAACTGGGGGATGACCTGGTTAGGGTGGGTAAGGGGGGACAGGGACAGAGTTGAGGCAAACAACTGTTCTATTCCTGCTGGCAGAAGGGTGGAGGCCTGACGAAGATTGGAACCCCACTCCATCACATAATAGCCCCCTGGTCTTGGGGAAGCCTCTGCTCCCCTGACCTCAGCTTCCTGGTGGCAGATGGGAATGCCAAGAAAAAGCTTCACCAAACACTTCTTCCCAATGGACAAATGAGCTCCAGTCCCAGGGGCCCTGAAGACATGAAAAAAGTGGCCCGTGGTGTGGGTCACCAGGCAATGCCACTTAGAGAGCAAATGACCCCTGTCTGGAAAAGCTATCTAGACAGGAAAGGCCGAGAATGAAGTGCAAATAATCAGTGGCGATCCATAGCTCTGTGCTGCCCCAAGGGCCGTGGGTCGTGTCAGTGGGTGGCACCCTTGCTGGATCCCAGACACTCTGCCTCCAGGACCAGCACCATATTTGGGACATGGAGCTTCTAAGCCCGGGGTCCCCCACCCACAGCGGTCGCATTTCCCTGCCTGGGGCTGTTGCGCGGTGGCTGGAGTACAGCTCTGGAGGCTGTGTGGTTCCCTCTGAGAACTCTGGAGGCCCAGCAAGGCCTACTGGCACACCTGTGTCCCCTCCCTGCATCCTAAGCAAAGTCAGTGCCACCTTGGGTTTATTTGGTTCTGTCAGGTGGAGCCAAAGTCCCCTGGAGGGAGCACTGTAGGAGACAATGACGGTACCTCCCAGGCTGTGAGGCTGCAGTGAGACACTATACACAAAACTGCTGGCAGGTGGGGGGATGAGTGTCAGACCCCTTCTCCCCACCCCAGAAGAGAAATACCTGTTTGGGGGCTCTTCTCTTCTTTTCTTTTTTGGGGGAGAAAGGCCTGCTTCGGGCTTCCAATCTGAACAGTCGAGGTCTTTCTCTTTCTTCTTGGCTTTCTCTCTTTCCTCTCCTTTTTCCCCTTTGGGATGTCCTGGGGAGTCTGAAAGCAAAAGGGAGGCATTGTCCCTCAGCTCAGCACCTTCTCAGCAGAACCCTGCGTGACTTTGGGAAGGAGGGAACGAAGGGCAGGGACCAGGACAGGTGCACATACTGTCTCTCTCTCACACACACACACACACACTCTTTACACAAACGCACACATAGCATGCGTGCGTGTGTGTAAAACACATTTTCACATGGGGACATAAATATAAGTGGCCCCACATCTATGTGCATAGTAACACAATTGTGTGCAGGTAGACACGTCCTGCGGGCACAAACAGAAACATGCAAAGAAGCACATGCACAGGCAAGCTCATAGTGACGCATCTCGCTCTCCTGTACACAACACTGACATTCCTCACCAGCTTCCTCCCTGGTCCGTCTGCCTTTTATTAAGTCACTCAGCAGACCCACTGATCGCCTGCTACGAGCCAGGCTCTGTCCCCTACCAAAGCCAGGAGGGAAACACAGTGAAAACCAGCCCTGCCCCTCTCACCCAGCAATCGCTTCCAGTTTTTGATGAGGACCTTGGCCAAGGACACCACCTCCCTGTCTGAGCAGTGCTTGCGAACCCCGTTGACGGCAACTCCAATCCTGGTCGTCTGCAAAGCAAAGGGGTCAAGGGCTGCCTGGGAATGGACGAGCAGGGTTGGCTGTCCCCCGAGGCAGCACCTGCCATGGCTCAGTCCCCACATCCTCTCCTATCCAGACCTCTCCAGAGGCCCTGTTCTGATCAGTGGCTGGTGTAATGACCCCAGTCCTACAGCTAGCCTACAGCTGAGGCCCTGACCTGCCTCGCTGTGTGGGGTCAGTGCCCAGCTGAGGACAGAGCAGTTGGCTGCTCAGGACCCTTCCCCATTCCCAGCCCCCTGGTATCTGTTAGCTCAAGTTTCATCTCGGTGGCGACTCCGGCTCCCACACTTTGGGTCTGTGCTCATCTTCCAGAGACAGGAGCTTCTGTAAGTTTGGGGGCAATCCAGGGAGGATTTAAGGACAGCGGAACTTTTCCCTCTTCCTGGATCCCTGGCCTCTTGCATTCCACAGGCCCAGGGTCTTGGGAATTAGGGTGCTCAAGGAAAGCAAATCAGCCTCCCCAGACCAAAGTCTCTGAGTTAGAAAGTACCCAGCCTCCTACAAGATGCTCCTGGGTCCCCCTGGGCCAACCCCCATGTCTGCACCTCAAGATGCCCCTCCCACAAGACTCCCCTCAGAAATTCCTCCCTGACTCCACCCTTGCAGGTCTCCCCCAGGGTCCCTCCTTCCCCCAGAAGACTCCCCCCACACACCTGCAGCAGCTGGATGGACATCTGACAGCTGTTCAGCTTCTTCAGAAGGTCAAGGGCCCCTTCCTGTGGGGGGTCACAAGGTGAGATTGACTACTGTGTGAGCTTGGTGGGAGGAGAGGGCCCAAGCACACCTAATGGAAGGGCAGACGTGGAGCAGAAAAGGAAGAAGTCCCCTCCCAGACTAACCTTCTGACTTCCGCCTCTGGCACCGAGCTGCACGGAGTCCAGCCTGACCACCCGCTCTGACCCTGACCCCTGACCGTGCCCTCCCCCTTCCCTTTGTCTTCCTCTAGATGAGCTTCTTCGTTTGTAGCCTCCCTCCCTCCCTTCCCGGAGGTGAGCTGTGGGCTTTCACAGGTGACGACTGTAGGCATTTATTTTTTTTCCAGAGATAGGGTCTCACTCTGGTTGCCCAGGCTGGCCTCACACTCGTGGGCTCGAGCATCTTCCTGCCTCAGCCTCAGGTGCGCACCACTGCACCTGGGTCTTGTGAGCTTTTCCCCACAGTTTTACTGAGGTATAATTGACATACCATAAAGACACATATTGTAGTGTACAATTTGATGAGTCTTGTCTTGACAAATGTCTAACCCATGAAACCACCACTAAGGTGAAGATAAGAACATGGCCATTATCCCCAGAGGTTTTCTTGGGCTCTCTTTTATTTATTTATTAATTAAACATTTATTCTTAAGCTTTAGGTGGATGCAATATCTTTATTTTACATTTATGTGGTGCTGAGGATCGAACCTGGTGCCTTGTGCATTCTAGGCGAGTGCTCTACCACTGAGCCACAACCCCAGCCCGTGGGCTCTCTTTTAATCCATCCCTCCCACCACCCCCAACCCCAGAAAACCACTGCTCTGCTTTGTATCACTGTAGGTGACCTTGTTTTTTTTTTTTTTTTTTTTGGCAGTACTCAGGGGTGCTTTACCACTGAGCCATATCCCCAGCCGCTTGTTCTTTTTGAAAACAGGGTCTCTCTAATTTGCTTAAGCCCTCACTAAATTGCTGAGGCTGGCTTTGAACTTGCGATTCTCCTGCCTCAGCCTCCAGAGCTACTGGGATTATACAGGTATGCACCATTGCTCCTGGCATGGACCTTGTATTTTTAAGGAATATATATAAAAAGTGCAGGCTGAGATTTAAGGTTGTGGCTCAGCAGTAGAGTGCTCACCTGGCACGGGTGAGGCCCTGGGTTCGATCCTCAGCACCACATAAACATAAATAAATAAATATAGGTATTGTGTTCAACTACCACTAAAAACTAGATACTTAAAAAAAAAGTGCAGGCTGAACACTTTTTCACTAGCTTATTTATTCTGAGATTCATCCTGGTCACCACAGCCATCAACAGTTTCTTTTTATTGCTCAGTAGTTTTCCATTGTGTGCATGGACCATAGTGTTTATCCATTTGCTGTGGGTGGGTCTTTTGGGTGGTTTCCAGCTTGGGGTTCCTACACGTCAGGCTTCTAGAAACACTCGTGTTCAAGTCTTTGTGTGGACAAACACTCTTATTCCTCTTGGCTAAAGACAACCATTTTAATCTGAGGCCTGAGGGCTGTGCACAGAGCCCAGAGCTCCCCAGATGAATGCATGCGTAGATGGGAGGGGAAGGAGGGAAGCTTAGATTTGAAAATGTGGCTGCCAGGCCCTGTACACACTTGTGATCCGTTTTAGCCTTCTTCCTCCCTCCCCCTTCCTAGAAGCCAGGCCATTGCTTCTCCACCTAAGATCAAGTGGAGTGTCTCAAGGCCAGTCCCAGCCCCTAGTCCTGAGATAGGTTCCCTGGGGAACACCAGCTGACTGTGTCCTGGATGTCCTTTGCAGGGTTCCAGCTGCCAACCCCGCCCTGGGAGGACCTGGACCACCTCCCACAGGCTGCCCTCTGTCAGTCCTTAGCCTCTTATAGATCTTGGGTTCAGTGTGTCTTCAGAGCTGCATCCTGCAGATGTGAGTGTGCTTGAACTTGTGGGCCTACAACTCGGTCTACAATATGTGTCAGGCTCTCTTCTAAGAATTTTACCTGCTCTGAGTTCTCACAATGACCCTAGGAAGTAGGTACTATTTATTTCCCCAATTTGTATAGATTGATTATCCCATTTTCACAAAAAAGGAATCCAATAAACAGAGAAGTTAAATAATTTGCTCAATGTTCCAACTTTGTAAGGAGCTGGACTGGGATTCAAACTCAGGCCTCTGGAATCTCACCACTTGACAAACTATGAGGGCATGGACATAGATCTGTCTAGACAAGCACGATCAGGGAATAGCAAGGTCACGTGCTGACTAACATTTGATGGCCAGCTGTCCAAAAAAAAACACTTGATCTGTTGTGTTTGCCAATTTCTGTGGTGGAAAAACTCTTCCCATGGCCAAGCTCAAGCTACTGACATGCTGTCACCGAATTGAAACAGATAAAAGGAAGAAAAGTGCAGTACCATACCATCTAGCACTTTCAACATCTGGATTTATTTAATAGAAATAAATTACCTCTAGACTATAGATGAGAGTAAAATAATGAGGAAATGATGATTTTGAAATATTACCTCTGTTTTTCATATAACTTAGTTAATTAAAAGCAGACAATCTGATTTTTAAAATAATGGCCGAGTTTAACAACCAGCTTGCAAAATTCCTGAAAATTCTACAATCAGTGCTAAAACAGCTCTGCTTGCCACTGAGTGCCTGTCTCTGTAAAGTGGGGTCAGACTGGAGAATAGCCACAAGCCTGGGTTGTACCTGCTTTGGAAAGCCACGTGCAAAGGTTACAAGGTGTGTCTCTCTAGGTGTGTAGCCAGCAATTTCTCTGATTCAGGTGTGGAGCTCTGAGTATGCATCCTGGGGCCCATCAGTGTTTGTCTTTGTGGAATGACAGCTGAGTTACTGTGTCCAAATGTGTGAATGTGACTGTTTGCTGAGTCTGTAGCTTTGCAAGTCTGGGTCTAGCTGGGTTGTGTGCATTCCTGTGTGTGGTTGTCTTTTGTACCTTTCTACAACTATCATGGTCAGTGTGCATCATTTGGGTTGTGCCTGTCATGTCAGTGTCAGTAGCCGTGCCTCCCACGCAGTTAGGTTCTTAGATGCCTGATTGGCTATTGCTGTGTGGGGTGCCTGTGTGTGACTGTCTGTTGATGTAACTGTAGCTGTGACTGTGGGTGCTTGGTTGTCTGTTGGAAGCTGTTTTAGCTGGTGCCAGCAGCTCACAGCATCTGACAAAACCCTAAGTCCCCAGGAGTTCAGGATTCATAATAAGCCTGGGCTGAGCTGCAACGTGGAGCATCCGTCTTCTTACAGGAAGTGTGTCCTCCTTTGCCTAACCACCACTGGGCGGGCCCACTTTCACTCCCAGGGCAGGCCCCACCTTTCTCGGCTAGATGCCCAGAGCTCTGTGCCCACCCAGATGCTGCCAAGAGCCCAGGCGCAGACGTGGCTGTAGACTGGTTTTGCACTGTAAGGACCCTACCACCAGACTCGCAGCTTTCCTGGGAGGGCTCTGGACACTTCCAAGGGAACCCATCCCCAAGGGACACTGTTTCCTCTTCCCATTTCACAAAGGAGGAAACGAAGGCCAAAAGAAGGAAAGTAGAGTGACTTGCCTTGGGCCATAAAAGGAGTGAGCAGGACCTGGTCTTTATCCTAATTCTTTCTTCAGATCCCTTAAGCTCCCCTGAACTGCACCCCCACGCCTTACCCAGAGGCTCAGAATTTCTTTCCTGGCCCTAGTGAGGGTTGGCAACAGGCTGTGCTGGGACAACCTGTCTATCTGAAATAGAATTCAGCTCAGGATACCTGGCTGGGCCCTGCCACCCCTAGCTGGGAACACACCCATCCCCCTCTGTTTTACTGAGGATTTAGAGAAGCCCTGCAGGGGAGCAGGTGGAGGCTGGGAGTGTCAGGGGAGAAGCTCCCAGCACCTTGCAGGACTCCACTGTACCTTTCTGTGTCCACTGGCTGTGGAGAAGCAAGTCTCCATCTCTGGCTCTTACCAGGCAGCAGGCTGAGTAGGACTTCACACACTGAGGAACACTCAGGAGATCCTGAAGCAGGGAATTCCCTACTGATGGCTGAAGAAACCAAGGCTCTAGTCTTTATATGGATGCCATCTCATTACTGTCCACCCTAGGACCCCCTGACACTTCATTGTTCCAGTGACGCCTCCCTCTAGCCTTGGTCACCTTTCTGTGGGCCCTTCCTTCCCAAGTTTCTAAGGTCAAGAAATGTACTGGAAATGCAGGTCCTGATGCAGCATTCAGGCTACGGATGGTGGGAGAAAGAGGACCCTAGGACAGGGCGTAAGGTGGAGGACATACCCACGGGTCCTCTCCCTTCTCTTTTCCTCACAAGGTGAGCCCATGCCCTCGGGTACTATGGCCAAGTTTGCTCTGGCCAGGCGACGCGGCAGCCTCCTGCCTGAGGCAAAGATCACCGGGAAGATCAAACATTAACTCACCGCTTGGCCCGCGCTCTGCGCTGCTGGGATTGCGAGCCCAGGAGCCCTCAGGTAGGGCGGTGGGCCCGGATCCCCCATCTCCCTCCCGCCGCGCACCTCCCGGCCCAGGGCCGCCCAGCCCGGCCTCCCGCCTGCCCCTTCCCCCGCCCGCACCTGTTCCACCCCGCCCGCCCCGGCCCCACCCAGCGGCCAAGGAAAAAGTTGCAAACAGAACCGCTCCTGGCACCCAGGCTGTGGGCTTGCGGGATCCGCTCCACTCCAGCAGATCCCCTCCGGGGCGCGGAGGAAACTCTGCTCAGCACCCTTCTCAGCCCGTCTCTTTGATCCTTCTCGGGCCACCCAAAGTTGGTTCCTCTAGTCCCAGCCTTCCCCGCCACTCAAGGGCTTTGCACACACCGTGAGCGCAGGGACTCCCAAAGTCTTTTCCAGGCTCCACGCCCGCTTTCCCTGGCGACCCTGCACAGACCGTCCACGGTGAACCCGACGCGTCCAGAGGGACGTGCACGAGCTGCGCCTCCGCCTCCTGGGCCTGCACGATCCCCCGGCGCCCTGGGCCCCGTGTTCACGCCCACCCCGAAGTGCCCAGCAAGTGTCCCTCGGGGCCCTGCGCCCTACACCATCCCGCCTCCCTGGGGTCCCAGTGCCCCATTCTCGCACGCCGGGCGCGCTGCCAGCACACGCCCCTGGGCTCCCTGGCTCGCCCGCGCCGTGCCTCCCGAGGCGGGGGCTGCGGCCCAAACTCTGCAGCCTCACCGTGTTCTTCCTGGCCACCATCTTCTCCAGCTTTTTGGCGATCCTCAGCAGCTCCTCTTCCTGGCCCATGTTGGCTCTCGACGCCTGGCCCGGCGAGGGATGCAGGGCAGCAGTCAGGACGCGGGGCAGCGGGCTCCGGAGCAGAGGGCGCGCAACCCGCGCGGGCCCCAAACACACAGGACACACACACGCCTGGCGGGGGCGGGGCTCTCCCCTCCCCCCCGCCTCCCCACCCTCAGGGGGAGGGGTGACGTGCACTAAATATAGACTTCAAGGACTCGCCCTGGCCAAGATTGCCTGCGCCGGTCTGTCGGGCCTCTTGGAGGGACGGGGCACTTCACCTAGGACCCTTCCAGGAGTGTCAGGGGACTGAAGGGCGATTGGGGGAAGAGAGCTTTCTGGCGAGCTCAGAGGCTCTTGTCCCGGGCCACTAGAGGCGGTCGTGGCGCGGAGGTCTCCTGAGGGTGCCCAAGAGCTCCAGGAAGAGTTTTGGGTTCTCGCGTGTCTGCATGGTTGCAGCTCAAACAGGGAGGACCCACGTCCGTGCCTATGGCCAAGTGCAGACAACTTGGTGTACTCGAATCACATCTCGGTGAAGTGCAGCTCTGCCCCAACTTAAGCTCACTCCCTGCGCTCGACTTGTGCATGCGCCTGTATCCTGCTGTTTTGGTCTGAGTGCTCAGAGCTTAGTCTATTTTGTAACAATGAGGTTTTGCGTTTCTAGCAAGCTCTAAAGTGCTCGGGGTGCTGCTGGTCCCAGGGCCATACTTGGAGTGGTGAGGGAGATTCTTAAGGGCACCCAACTGAGAGATAAGGACCAGGTGTCCACCGGTGCCCAGTATTTATTCAGCTTCAGACCAGGGCCTTCCCAGCGGGTTTGGGTTTGGAAGGGTAATTTGCAGAGGAGGGGCAGAACCACTGCCCAGCTCCCCCAGCTGTGCACACATTAGCCTTCCTGATGAGGATCTCCTGAGTGTTCCTCATAGACCTGGTCCCCTGGTGCCTTTCTGAACCAGCAAGTTTAATGGACAGAAAATGACCTTCCCATTGGGCCTGGTGGTGCACGCCTGTAATCCCAGTAGCTTGGGAGGCTGAGGCAGGAGAATGGAGAGTTCAAAGTCAGCCTCAGCTACTTAGTGAGGCCCTAAACAACTCAGTGAGACCATGTCTCTAAATAAAATATAAAAAGGGGTTGGGGATGTGGCTCAGTGGTTAAGTGCCCCTGGGTTCAACCCCTGGTACAAAAAAAAAAAAAAAAAAAACCTTCCCAATAAGGGGTCCTGGATTTAGAGGGGAAGCAGGAAAACTGGTCCATGGTTGGGGAGCTGTGGCTTGGTGTGTCTAGTGAAATTTCCAGACTGAGAAACCCCAAACTCAGAGACCACCATTGCTGTGACCAGCACAGCCCTTAAGACAGAAATATGCAAGGGGCAATGGAGATTGAAGAAAGACAAACACACAGAGCAAAAGCTGGGGCCAGGTGTATCATCACTCCCTGATGGAGGGTGAATGACCCAAAGCTAGCTCAGCACGTTTATTATGTAGGTTTTCTCATCAAAAAGTTATATGTGAGAAAGTTTCAGCAAAGCTGACAGAAGTTCACAGTGAAACTTGCAAGACATCAATGTTACCTTGTTATGCCCAAATTCTCTATGCCTGGGAGTTAGTGCCTGAGCTCAAGGTCCTGACTGATACAGCTCTGCCCCTTCAGGAGCCTCCTCCTCTTCCCCAGGCATCACCATAGCAACTGATCCTTTTTTCTTTTCTTTTCTTTTTTCTTTTTGTGGTGCTGGGGATTGAACCCAGGGCTTTGTGCATGAGAGGCAAGCACTCTACCAACTGAGCTAAATCCCCAACCTGCAACTGGGCCATCTTTGTACAGGAAGTTCCCAGTACAAACGCAGTCATGAGGCCGTCAGAAACCATGGTTCAAGTCATGGCTGTCTACACCCCATCCCAGTCTGTGTGGACTCCTGTACCAGTTGCTGTTGTGTGCCTGAGGTTAAGTAGGACAGGGTGGATTTTTTTCATTCATTGAACAAATTTGTCTTGAGTGTCCAAGGAACAAGCAAGACTCACCCAGTCCCAGCAAGCTGGGCAAGAGAAACTTTATTTCATTTTTGGGTACTGGTTATTGACCCTAAGGGCACTTAACCACTTAGCCACATCCTCAGCTCTTTCTATTTTTTGAGACAGGGTCTCACTAAGTTGCTTAGGGCCTTGCTAAGTTGCTGAGGCTGGTTTCGAGCTTGTGATCCTCCTGTTTTAGCTTCCTGAATAGCTGGGATTACAAGCATGAGCCACTGCACCTGTCAGGAGAAACTTTAACAGGGATATGATCAATGAATGTATTTACCACAGCTGAGCTGGGGTTAGGGGGAGGTGGAGGGCATTTTAAAAAACACATCTGAGGGGGCCTGTACCAGCAGGGGTGTCACCTACTCAGAAGAGATGAAGTTCATTGAACTGAAGTGCTGAGAGGGAGTTGGAAGAAAAAGTTCATGTAAGGGAGGAAGAAACAGCCATTCATTCAACATATATTTATTGAGCACCTATAATGTGCCAGGCAGTTTTAGCCCTAAGCATCTAGAGAGGAACAAAGCAGTCCCTTAGAGCTCCAAATGTGCAACACAACTTGAGGTATATTCTAAGTGTCATCTCTCAAAGGCACCCAGCAAGATAAACTCTTGGTGCTTGAAGTGGTCAGCCCTCATCAACACATCCTTTATTGTCTCCCACCCTGCCCTGGTACTACGGATTGAACCCAGGGGCACTTTATTACTGAGCCACATTCCCAGTCCTTCTTGTTTCTTATTTGGAGACAGGGTATCATTAAGTTGCTTAGGGCCTTACTAAGTTGCTGAGGTTGGCCTTAAACTTGCAATCCTCCTGCCTCAGCTTCTGAGTCACCGGGATTACATGTGAATGCTTAGCTGTTGCCTTTTTAAATTTATTTATTTATTTTGCACACTGGTCTTGCTAAGTTGCCAAGGTTGGCCTCATACTTACTTTGCAATCTTCCCCCCCTCAGCCTCCCAAGTAGCTGGGATATAGGCACACACCACCACATGTGGGTCTTTTGGGTTTTTTTGAACTCTGTTTCACTTCTCTATACCCTCATTATGTTTCTGGGATCACCTCACAAATAAAATACTTGCTCCTAAATCCTTGTCTCAGGGGGCAAAAGGGACTGGTGGGGCCCGTGGCAAAGGCAAAAGCTTTGACTCTCCAGCAGACAATGCAGGGCTCTTTCCACACCAGGGCTTCACAGCCTCGGCACTACTAACCTCTTGGACTGGACAATTCACTGTCGGGTGTGTGGCTATGGTCTGGATATGGTTTCGGTGTCCCCAAAAGGTTCACATGCTGGAAGCCTGGTCTCCAACGTGGCAATGTTAAGGGGTAGGGAAGCTTTAAGGGTGCAGCCTCATGGAAGGTAATTAGGTCAGAGTCACTGCCTCGGAAGGGATTAATGCTGGTCTCCTGGACTGAGTGCTAGAGAGAATGGCTTGTTAGAAAGGGAGGCTACTGGGCTGGGGTGGTGGCGCAGAGGTAGAGTGCTTGCCTAGCATGTGTGAGGCACTGGGTTGGATTCTCAGCACCACATATAAATAAGTAAGATAAAGGCTCATCAACAACTAAAAAAAAAAAAACTTAAAAAAAAAGAAAGTGAGGCTACCCCACACCTTGGCATCTTCTGCATGCAGCTGATTCCTTTCCCTGCCATATTGTGACATGGTCAGGGGGCCTCTGCCAGGGTGCTGGCACCATGCTGTTTGGACCCTCCAGCCACCAGAATTGTGAGTCAAATAAACCTCTCTACTTTAGAAAGTACAGTCTCTGGTATTTTGTCATAGAAACACTAAACAAATTAAGACATGGGCATGTTTAACAGCATCCCTGACCTTAGTCCACTAGATGCCAGTAGCACCCTCCAGTTGGGGGCGAAAAAAGAAGGAAAAAAAAAAATCTCTGTACCAGACACCTCCTGGGGCAAAACAGGCCCTGATGGCACTGCAGTCACGGCTCCACACCAGGCTGTCTCCCTCGCAGGATCCAGAGAAAGAATTCCAGGGCCCAAGAGTTAGATCTCATAAATGAAATCAATGGTACTTATCTCCTCCAAATCCTTTATTAGAGATGAATGAAATAACACATGTGAGATGAACAGAGCCATACACGGGGGGCTCAGAAGGCAATCCATTTCTGTGGGCCCACACAGCAGTCAGACCTCCTGGGTAAGTGACCCAGCCTCCCTGCAGACTGCTGTGCTGCTGGCCTTGACGCCCTCTGGTCTCCTCTGCTTGGCCTGGCCCATCCCCACCAGGGCCCAGCACCCATGGCTGTAAAACTGAGGTGTTAGCGGTTGGTGATGACTTCAGAGAATTGGCTTCTAACTGGGGCTGAGCAGTGGTGGACTTCTGGCACTGGGAAGGACCTTGAAGACTTTGCTCTATCCCTCTCCTGCCTCCTTTCTCAGCCCCTCTCACCCAAGACTGGCAGGCTCCTGAGTTGACAGAAAGAAGAGATAAGTGGGGATCCATCACCCCAGTTCCTTTCCTCTTGCTAAGTCATGGAGATAAACAAAAGCAGGTGAGCCATGCTCTACTTCGTGGCTCGGAAAGACATTAGAGATCCCTGGGAAGGCTGGATTGTCCCTCGTGACTGGCGCTCAGAATGTGTATTTAACAGCCAGTTCAGCATAGGCCCTGGCCAACTAGAATAAAGATGAGCTACAGACAACTGTCATGGTCAGATGGGAAACCAGACGACAGCCCGTCCTGCTTCTCATTCCAGAACCGTCCTCTGGAACCTGGCCCAGCCCATTCCCAAGCCAGTCCTTGAGACCAGCTTCCCTGCTGGGGACCACACCTATAGGAAGGACCCTGGCCTTTCCCATGTGGCATCCATAGTGCCTCACACAGGCCTGGACACAGAGCTGGAACTCAGTAAAGGAACAATGGACTAAGAATGGTGAGAAGAGAGTCCCTGGTCCGGCAGAGTCCGTGATCTGGAAGTGAACGAGGGTGCCCCGGGCTGATGGGAGAAACCGTTCTGGTCTGACGGGGAACCGAAAGTTCTGGTTCTGAACCGAGCTCAGTAGCACTCAGACCTAACCTCTGGGTGCCTGGCCATGGAGGGCAATGAGATAGCAGGAAAAGGACCATCTCAGCCCCATCATGAAAGGACACAGCTTCCTTGGCAGGGACATGGTCCACAGCAAGAGGAAGGCCATCCACAGAGACACGAGGGATGGAGAGCCAGGACCCAAGGGAATGGATGCCTTCACTCTCCAACTTTGTGTGCTCAAGTTCCACTTGAGTGTTGGGGTTCAATATGGCCATGCAGGGGTCAGCAAGGCCCTAGTCTTGCAAAAGGCGCACAGAACTTGCCGGGAGAACCCCAGTCTTTGCGCCATCCCCTTCAGGGAAGCCAACCTGGGGAGAGAAAGATGAAACCGAGTTCTAGGTTCTATCATGTACTAGGTGATTATCACACTTAGCCTCACGATTTCCCCATGGTGAGGAGGTTAAATTATTCCCATTTTTACACACAGTGAAACTGAGGCTTAAAGAAATAAAGCAACTTGCCCACTAAAGCCACTTTCCTCTGACACTGAGCTCTTACGACCATATACTCCACAAGAGACTAAATGCCAGGTGATGGCTACCGGCTATCAGGGTAGTAGTGGAGCACGGATTTGTACTGGTACCTGACAGATGGACAAAATATGATGACTCCCCAGGGGAGCCAGCTCCTGCCCTGCCAACCCCCACGCCCAGTGCAGACATCCAGTGCCATCCCTGGGAATCCAGGGGAGCCAGGAACGGAGGAGGCCACCTTTCCCTAGGCTTTGGTCTCTGCCCACTGCAGGTGCCACTCAATATATCTAACTGCTGAAGACTCGGTGATCTCAGCAGGGAGAAGCCAGATTAAGGCTCTAGCTCTCTCCCTGTTCCCGTCACACCTCTCTGTGCTTGGGATCTGGAAGTCCATGCAGATTCTAGAAGCCCCCGGTACAAGGGGAGAGATGGACGGAGGCCAGGTGTGCAGCCACCCTACTCCTGCTGAAGGAGGCCTGGCTCCTCCTCCCTTGGGGAGCAACACAACTTGGGCCACTTCGCCGCCTCCAATTCTTGAGGCCTGGGCTCACTGCAGCTACACGCAGCCCTGGGCCTGGGTGGGAAGGAAAGCCCCGGGGCAGGGACTTGCACCAGGTGGCCATCTGGATCCACACGTGCCCCAGCCATGGGGAGAGACTTCTACCCCACGACACCTGCTCCTGACCGACTCTCAGGCCCCCCCACTGCCCTCAGACACAGTCCCAGGGCTCCTACCTGTGTGCTCCTTCTGGGCACAGGCTGCCGGGCTGAGGGACCATCTTCCAGGCTCCGGGTTCCCCGTCGATAGGAGCGAGTGCTCTCCGAGCTAGAAGGCAAGGAAAGACCACCCGGGTTGCCTTGGTGCCCAGAGCCCCTCTGAGTGAGGAGAAAGGGCTCAGGAAGAGAGCGAGTGAGGCCGGGGCTTAGGATGGGGGGCATAGAGTCCTCAAGGCTGCCTAGTCTGGGTCCATGATAGGTCCCAGAGGCCTGGAGATGACCCCCAGAGGGCTCTGAGGATATCACCACATCGGTTCACCCAAACCCCTGCTGGAAAGGGTTTGTGAGGAAGGGAGAGGATTGGGTTCTGGGTTGGAACTGCGGACAGAGTAAGGGCCCCACTCAGAGTCTCTGAATGAGCCACGCAAGTGGGGCTGAGCCTTCTTTCCTCCAGCCTCAGCACCAGGGTCTGTCCCAGGCTCCTCCCCAGCTCTGCAGGCCAACCTGGGGGCAGGTGGGGGCAGGGGGCCACACCCCTAAGCCCAAGGTCTAGCATCCCCACCTAGGGCATGGGCCCCAGAGCTAGGATGTGGCCCAGTCTTGAGGGAGGTGCTTTTTAGAGGTGGGGAAACAAATGGGTGATCAGAGACATCAGGAGACTTGCCTAGTTTCCACAGCTGGGCCCTCACTCACCTGAATCGGACGGGGAGATACACCTCTGCAGGGGTGGTTCCAGGTGCCAGGCTGGGTCGGGAGGTGCCCGGGGTCTCCTGGAGGCCCTCCTCTGAGCTGAGCAGGCCTTGACTGGCACCCCCAGGCTCCATGGGGCTTGTGAGGCTGGAGGAGGAGGTGGCTAGACTGCCCAGGCTCTCAGAGGCCTCGGGGGGCTCTGAACTCAGGTTGGGGACTTCAGGATCTGGAACCAGAAATGATAGACCCCATTTTTATCATTCCCTCTGCTGTCCTTCAAAGCGGCCTTTGACCTCTAGGATTGGCCTTGGTTCCCTCCCAGCTCCCAGCCCCCTCTTCCTCTCCACCTTCTCCAGCTGCACATCTGTTCACAGCAACAGCTGGCCTCCCAGCCGCTTGCCCTCCTGCTCCTGCTCACCCTTCCCCTCAGCCTGGCCTCTCCTGTCCATCCCTCAGTTCAGCTCCCACCCCTGACCACTCATTCCCAGCAGGACCTGCCCCCTCCCACCTCTGGATGGACCTTCCAGGACAAGCCTGCTCTAGTCATTCCACCAGTGTTCCCAAGCACAGGCACCCTGCATGAAGAGCCCAAGTCCCTGTCTTCCTGAGATTAAGGCTTTTAATCTTATCACATTGAGCCTTGTAATATCATCAGTTGTATTTCAGTTTTTATCTTCTCACTAGAGGTGTCCCAGAAGCCCTCAAAGGACTCAGGACTCAGGAGATGCTTCAAAAACTCCTGTCTTTCTTTTTTATTTAAGTGAAGTGCTGAGGAATTTGGAATAAGACAGACCTGGGTTTGAACTCCACACCAGAGGCTTATCAGCTGTGGAAACTTAAGCATGTTACTTAACCTCTCGGAGGAGGATAACCTCTAAAGAGAGGTGACTGTGAGCATGATGTGGACTGGTGGCACTCTCAGTTCAGGGTCCCAGCATACAGAGGACCTCAATTAAATGGTATGGTGAGGACTTTTTCTGAGCAGCCAACTATACCTCCATTGGCATGTCCTGCACGTCCTTGAACCGTTGTCCGAGAAGAGCTTTTGACTGGCAAGGGTGGGGGGCAGTCTTCACTCTGGCTCTGCTGGGCGGCTGGTCCTAGGCTGGTGAAGGTCTCATAGGTCTTGTTGCTGATGTCCAGCCTGCCACTGGCCCAGCGGGCTTGGGCTGGGGGCTTCAGAGGGCAGCGCTGTGGGGTGAGGACAGCCCATTTCCCCAGTTCAGCCTGCCCTCCCACACCAGGCCCATTCTGGCTTTCCTTCCGCCACCTAGAGGCTGCAGCAGGGGCTGGCACCCACCTTCTCTTCCTCGTCCTCCTCGCTGTCAGAGCCAGGCTCCATAGACATTCCCCAGGGATAGTCTACATGCAGAGGGAAGATGAGGGTCCCAGCCTGGGCCTGATCCAGCTGCCAGAGAAAAAGGCCCGCCAGTTCAGAGGCCAGGGGCCCAGCAAGGAAGGAGAAAGGTCAGAGGGCAGCCCCACCCTCTCACTCACCAGCTCCTCACACTCCTTGTGCTGCTTCTTCCTGGCCACATCCAGAGCTGTCTCTCCAGCCTCGTTCACTGTGAAGGGGTAAAGTCAGGGTCATGATCAGGGCCAAGGAGACATTACAACTTAGGTTAAGATGGGCCTCTGAAATTAGAATGTTTGGCTTTGAATCCTGGCCTCAAAACTTTGTAGCTTTGTGAGATTAAGCAAGATATTTAACCTCTCTGGGCCTTAACTGTCTTATTTATAAAATGAGTATAATACTTGAAAGTATCTGACCAGGTTATCGTAAGAATTAAATTAATTAACAGGTATAAGTCAGTGCAGGCATATTAGTAAGCAGAAGCTATTACAGTCACTATCACCCAGATTTGGCTATATTTATTTTGATAGATACTTTCAGAAATGTTACTTAATTTTATCCCTTTGGCAGGGCTGCCACATCGGTGGTGTTACTCCCATTTTACAGATGAGGAGGCTGAAGTTCAAAAGATGAGTGACACCCGCCCTACGTCACAGAGGCAGTCAGAAGCAAGCCAGGTTAGCACCCAAGTGTGTCTGCAAAGCCCATGCTTGACAGGCAGGAAGCCGTAGCCGGGAGCTGGGATGGGCTCTGTGGGAGGAGGTGTCCCTGGTCGCACCTGTGCCCACAGCTGCTCTCCCTCTCAGCAGCAGCTTGATGCAGTCGGCCTGGCCGTGGAGCGCCGCGCAGTGCAGGGCAGTGTTCCCGTCCGCAGCCTTGGCATCCAGGTGACCACTGGGGGAGGGGTTCAGGGGGCAAGGAGGGGAACCCAGTTGGGGGGGTAAAGGTTAGGGGAAAGGAAAAGAGGAGACCAGGAGATGGGGCGGGAAAGCGGGCAGTGCAAGGAGGGGCTGAGGGCAGCAGGTTCTCACCCGTTCTGGATGATGAAGTCCACCAGGGGCAGGGAGGCCTGGCTGGCTACTTTGATAGCCAAGTGCAGGGCAAGCTCTCCGGGCACCTGAACACATGCCCACACCTGAGTTTCCCCAGGTCACCTGCCCCCAGCCCAGCGCTGCCCTCTTGGACCCTGCTGCCGCCAACCTCTAGATAAGAAGCTGCCAGAACCCGAGAGACAAGACCCAACATGTGTGGGGAGAGGGGCAAGGACCAACCGCCCCTCAGTGTTTCCTTCATGGCTCTTCCTCCTCTGTCCTCAAAGGAAGGAGTTTCCCAAGCTGGGTTCTGGCTCCGGGCTCCTCTCTGCTCCCGTTTCCCCATGGAAACCTATGCAGCCTCACGCTCTGCCGCGGCTGGCATCGCTGAACTGCTGCACCCTGCTGCCCACTGGCGCCCACCGGATATCAGAAGATGGCTCAAAGAGCTCCAGGCTCTTTGTTGTTTTGGTGGTGCCAGCTAGGGCTGAACCCAGGGCCTCCTTTGTGCTAAGTATGCACTCTAGCACTGAGCTACACACCTAGTCCACGACAGCCAATCGCCAATGTCCAATCAGCAGCAATCCCCGCTGACTTAACCTTTCCAGGGCCTCGGATATCCCCTCTCCCTGCTCACATGGTACATATCACTGGAATAGTCAGGCAGTGTCTAATCTGACCTACCCTTGCCCAATTCCAAGGCCATTCAACCCTGTAGTGCTATTCTCTCCCTCCCTCTCTTCTTCTTCTTTTTTTTTTTTTTGGTGCTGGGGATTGAACCCAGGGCCTTGTACATGTGAGGCAAGCACTCTACCAACTGAGCTATCCCCAGCCACTTCTTCTTTTTTTAACCAGGGGTTGAACCCAGGGTTGCTTAACCATCCCCAGCCCTGTTTTTATTTTTTATTTTGAGACAGGGTCTTGCTAAGTTGCTTAGGGTCTCACTAAATTGCTGAGGCTGGCCTTGAGCTTGCAATCCTCCTGCCTCAGTTTCCTAAGCCACTGGGATTATAGGTGTGTACCACCATGCCGGGCTCTGTGGGTGCTATTCTTAACCCATTTTATGGATAAGGAAATAAGGCTCAGAGAGGTTAAGTAACCTGCCCTGGGTCACATAGCTAAGAGGAGTAATAGCTAGACTTCTGGCCCAGGTCTGCTTGACTGGAGGCATGCACACTGACTCAGGGATGGTGAGAACTGAGCAGCTGGCCCAGAAAGGCACAGGGGAGTGACAGCTGGGTTATAAGGGGCCCTCCGTGGGGTGGGGGTGGGATCACACCTGCCCGTCAGGCCCTGGCAGAGGCTGTCCAAAGTCCTGTCCGTTGGCAAAGGCCTCCAATACCGCCAGGAGGTCCCTGTTGCAAATGGCTGTCCAGAGTCTCTGGGGCTCAGGTGTGGATCGTCGCGCAAATCTATGTTCCACATACTTGGCCACGATGTAGTCCCTGCGGGCATTCCTACCAAAACAACTACAGGTTCTCAGAGCAAGAGCCTATTTCCACCCAGAGGACCCCTGGAACCAGCCCGCTGGGGATGCAAGTGTCCAATTCCCCAGAACCATGCCCTGGAGACTCCCAGATCTGAGGTTCCCCTCTCCCTAGACGTCTGATCCCGGATCCCTCTGAGACTCTGGGGGCTGGGGAGGTAGAATCCTCCAGTCATGAGGTCCTTCCCTGGGAGAATCTCCTTACATGTCACTCTCAGCTGAGGGTTTAGGACCACCGTGTGAGGGCAGCTGGGCCTCCATAACCTCATTGAAGCGCGTGTTTCCGATGTTCAAGGCCAGCTGGGGTTAGGGGTGTGTGTTAGGGATGGGGGTGATTAGGACAGCGTTCCTGGGAAAGGTAAGCTTCCAGAAGTCCTGGCGCTCCGTCTCGCGGCTCACCCAGGCCGGGTCCCGGCTCCTACGGATTTAGCCTATCTCGGCCCCGCCCCCTAAGGATCTAGCCTATCTCGGCCCAGCCCCGCCCCCGGCTCCTACGGATCTAGCCTATCTGGGCTCAGCCCCGCCCCCGGCCGAACCACACCCCCAACCTTCCCTCGGGTCCCGCCCGGTCCTCACCAGCAACTCTGACGGGCCCAGCAGATCCAAGGTGAGCGACTGTATGCGGGAGAAACGCACGCCCAGCTCGCGGTGGACGCCGGAGCACTGGATGCAGGTGAGCACGCCCAGGTTGGTGCTGAGCCACGTGGGGTCTGCAAAGGGGCGTAGCTCGAGCCGGCGGGCGCGGGTCCCCTCCCCGCCCGCCCCTCCTGGCCGTGCCGCACCAGCTCACCTGCAGCCCCGCAGTCGCAACACTGGCCGTTCCCGGGCCGGCTCTTCACCTCGGCGATGAGCAGCTTGGTGAGGTCCTGGGACTCCCCGTCCAGCCCCGCGCCCACCCAGGACGCCGGGCCGCTGCTGGGTTCCCCGAGGAAGGCGCTGCTCAAGGCTTCGTCCTTGCTGTTCTGCAGCACCGACACCCACCTGCGCAGATGGAGCGAGCGGGCGGCGGGGCTGGGAGGCGGGAAAGGACCAGGCTTCCCTGCCCCACCGCAAGGCTGGCCCACGGGGCACTCACGCCTCGCACTCGTGCTCGTCCTCTGCCTGGAAGTGGTATGTCCGGTTGTCTGTCGGGAGAGAAGGGGCGTTAGGCCTCCAGAAATCCTGCTGGTTTTCCCCAGGCCCGGGGAGCCCCACCCAAACCACTGAGACCAGATGGACCCTTCTTCTCTGCCATGTTGGTCCTCCCAAGCTAGAAGGGTGTGACAGCGGAAGGCTGCGGGGGCAGTGGCTCACGCCTATAATCCCAGCGGCTGGGGAGGCTGAGACAGGAGGATTGCGAGTTCAAAGCCAGCCTCAGCAACCTCCAAAGTAGTATTCCAACGAGCCTGCCTCTGTGGAAAGCCCAGGTTCCCGAGTCAGGGCACAGTGCCCAACCCCCATCCCCAATCCTGGGCAGGGTCCCCTCTAAACCTACTGCCACCACCCCATTAGGCTCTCAGCCTCTTGCCTGGTCTCCCCGCTTTCCACATCCTCCCCTCACCCAGCTTTTACCAGCTCCCATCCTTGTGCCTAAGACCCCCATGGCTCCCTACCGCCAGGGAATAAGGTTTGAACCTTTAAGATGGCATTCCCAGGCCCACCACCCACGACTCCTCTGTGAACCCTCCACTCTGGCCAGCCTGGTTCCTACTTCCATGTCTGTCATGGTGGCAATCCTGTCTCCTGAAGGCCACCCCACCCCCAAACCCTATATGCTCCATGTCCTTTAAGGCTAAATTAAAATGCTCTCTCCTCCGAGCAGCCCTTCCTGGTTCCCCATGGCAGGGCAGGCCTGTCCCCTCCGAGTCCTCCATGGAGCTCTGTGTTTCACTTCTCTCTGGACACGCCCCCTCAGGCCACAGTCCCAGGAACCCCCTCACATCCCTGCTGGAGAGGACTCCCTGACCAGGTCTTTCTCCGCCTTACCCACCTCACATAAAGGGCTCCAAAGGAGAAGTGAAAATTTAAATAAATAACAGTTTGGAAAGCCAGATCACCCAAAGCCATGCAAATATGCATCACCTGACGATCACATTTACCGTGAAAAGGGGTTCATTTTAATGCTGGATGTGATGAGAGGTGAAGCTGTTAGAACGGAGCCAGGGCCTGTGGGGTTCTAGGCCTGGGGCAGCAGCCACTCCACACCAGGTGGAAATGCACAGATCCCACCAACCTCTGTGAGAAGCCCTGGGCAGTTGTGGGGAGGAGGCAGGAAGCAGGGGACACTCACGGGTCACCAGATGGAAGCACTTTTTCTCCTCAGGGTTTGGCCTCACTTGGCACGTCAGCAGGGTCAGCTTCACTGGGGGCCGGTTTATCTGCAGCATTTTGGGGATGAAGGATGTACAATCTACCCTATGGACCTCCAGAACTCCTGAGGCCTCAGCTTCCCAATCTGTTAAATGGGCATGATGATCCTGTCCCAGTTATGTCTCCCCTCTCCCAGAATCTCAAGGGTGAGGACTGTAAATCATGGCTAAGCTGGGGGCTCTAGGTCCCACACTTTCTTCTATGAGGGGTCTCCAGCTCTCTGATCCAGTTTTGGGAGCCAATCTTGGAGGATCATTTGCCTGCCCAGAACACCAGGGGGAGCCTCACAGTGCTGTGTGAGATGGTCAGGCAGCCATACTTGACTCCACACTTCCTCTTCTGCCAGACTCTTCGAATCCTGAGGGCCAGAGCGATAGAAAGACAGGGACCAAGCCTCATCACCTCTGTGACCTCTCACCACATCTCTTTCTCTTCCCTCTTCTGATCCTTACTCTTCATTCTATGGGTTCCCTCACTGTGTGTGTGTGTGTGGGGGGGGGGTGTGCTGGGGATTGAACCCAGGGCCTTGTCCATGCTAGGCAAGCACGCTACCAAACCTCCATGGGTCCCCTTCTGATGGAGGAGACCCAGTCCTGCCCTCAGGAAGCTCCTGTGAAATGGAGGAAGGGCTCTGCTCTCTGTGAATCCTTATTCTAAAGGGGATGATGTGGCTGTGGCCCCCTAAGAGCTCTAAGGCTGATGGAGGAGACACCTCTCACACCTCAGGGAGTGCCCGGTCTGAGAGGAGGCACAGGATCTCAACCACCACAGATGAATTGTGGTCACACTAAGCAATATAAATACAAAACCCCAGAAATAAACAAATCCATGATTCAAAGCTACTTAAGTACTTCTCCTTCAGAGTTCAATATTCCTTGGTTTCTTCCAAAGTTTTCCTTTTTGGATAAAAACTGATTAGTAAGCAGAAATGTGAATACACTCTATAAAGGCCTTTGCGTATCACACTTTTTGCTTGTTTGGCACCAGGGAATAGGGCACAGTCAACACTTTCATTTCGGGCATATTCAGTACAGTGTAGAGATTAAGGATGAGAGCACAGTAAGTGCTCAGTGTTCACTGCTGCTGTTCTTCGAGTTAAGAACCAGTGACCTTTAGCAGCTGCCCTTTGATGATTCTGCACTCAGAGTGGAGGGTCCTGGAACCCTCTAGGTCTTAACAAACGATACAGTCCCTGTGGGCAGCTTCCCTAACCCTGTCACTTCCTAGGCTGTGCCTTTGGGTAGGTTGCTAAGCTCTTGCAGACACTTACCCATCGCTCTTCTTATACAGAAAGCCCACTTTCTCGGTCCCAAACTGCTTGTTGCCTTGGTGCTGGTGAATGCTGTAGCCGCCCCCCGAGTTCTTCCGGCTCAGGTGCTCCTGCCCCTCAGACATGCAGAGGAACCTCAGGACCTCTGGGAGGGACGACCCCATTCTGCAGGGGCTCATTAGGGGGTCTTCCCTCTCCCTCCCTCCCTCCGTGGTGAGCCCTGGAGGAGGGCATTCCTTTCGGGATGGTTCAGGGACTGACCTCTCTGTTCTCCAGCTGCAGGGTCCCTCGGAGGGAGTCCCGGAGCTGGGCCAACTTCTGTAGCTCCTCCTCCTGGGCTTGACGCAGCTGTGGGACAGAGGAGGACAGAGGACGGAGGCCATCGCCAGCCAGCGGATGGCCCAGAGCCCAGACAGACCCAGAGCAGCAGGGCAGTGCCTCCTCCACAGGCAGATTTTCCCCAAGGACAGGGGGCTTGGCTACGGGCCCAAGGGTGAGACCCAACTTACCGCATGTACGGAGGCTGCCAGCTTCTCGATGAAGGGGGACAGGCTCTGAGCCGCCTTCCAGCCATCTTGGAAAAAGCTAAGAGATGCCAGAGGCCAAACAGGGATCCAGAAAGAAGAAAATGAAAATAAGCCAGACGTGTGGAGGAAGGTGCTCAGGGACCATAGGGCATGGGAGCTGATGGTCAAGAGCAGACACGCAGAGGCAGGGGTCTGGCTTCAGATCCCACTTACTAGCTGTGCCATCTTGGGCTTAGGTTTCTTTTGCAAAATGGGGACAATCACTACATCTGCTCACTGGGGTGTTGGGAACCCAGTGAGACCATGTGTGTGTGAAGTCTCTAGTGCCTGACACATGGTGGCACTCCAAGACGAGCTGAGGAAATGCTGCCAGTGAGGTCCAGTTATGGAGCCCCGTGGGTCTGCCAGACCCTGGAGAGGCCTTGCTGTGACCTGCAGGGCTGGGGTGGGGTCGGGTGTACCTACTTGTGCTGGGCGTGGAAGAACTTGATGAGGCTCTGGAGGAAGTCGGGGCCTTGTTTCATCTGACTCTCCCCAGCTTTGAGCAGGTACTGAGGGGAGGGGAATCAAGGGTGTGTGACGTGAACCCAGGCTGGATCCTGAGGACAAGGGCAGCAGTCCCCACCCCAAGCTAATCCTCTTGGCCATGACTAAGCCTTGATGATACCCCACAGGCCATTTAGACAGGACCTGAGCTGAGCCTGTGACTGGGCCCTGGGAGGTCAGGAAAGGCAGCCAGGAAGACACCTTGTCCCCTTACCTCACACATGTGCAGCTGGAAGACACGTCGCTCCCGCTGTGTGTCCTGGGTCACCTCCCCTGGGCTACCTCCTGTCACCCTGGCCCGATCTCGCTCCTTCTCCAGCCTGGCCCTGGGCCATAAGGGAAGAGAGGTCTGAATGACTCTACAGCCTTCACAATCCGCCATCCCTCCGGCCTACTTTCTGCCCCTCACACACAGGAGCAAGGGGGCCGTGCAGAGCTTGAGGTCCTTCTCTGTGCTTGCTGGGTGCTGAGGCTGGGGACAACAGAGGGCAAGGGAGACTCCAGGACTCCAGAGGGTGGCAGGGGAGAAAGACGCGAACCAAATCACAGCAGAGTGACAGGCAAGCGCAGTGGGGGAGCAGATCTTGTCCTGGCTGCTAAGAAAGTGATGCTTGTGCTGGGATCTGAAGCTGAGCTTGGAGGAACTAGGGCTGGGCAGGGGACGGGGTCATGGTGGCCCAAGGCAGGAGAGCTCGGGTGCTCCTGGAGAGGGACAGGGAAGGGGTGCTGGCTGAGGTGAAGAAGGGCCAGACCCTCCAGGGCCTGCTTCAGACTCATTGAGATTTGGTCTTCAGCCAAGAGCAATGGGTAAGGTCAAAAGGCTTCCGTGCCAGGAGTTGAGAGGCGGAGATGAAGACCAGGTGGGACCTGGGTGACCGATTCTGATCAGCTGGAAGGCATTTAGGATTTTGTGGGTGAGATGACCACAAAGTGCCTTCATTCTTTTGTGTCTATTCAGCTTCCCATTTAAAGCTTAGAAAACCGTTGTCCTGGGCTGGGGTGCAGCTCAGCGGTACAGCACTTGCCCAGCATGCGCGAGGCCCTGGGTTCCATCCCCAGCATCCAAAACAACAAACCAAAAAACCACCTTTGTTCTTTTCTCATTAAGTGGAGTCAGATAGTGCTTCCCATCCTGGGCAACCCGGGCCTTCCTCTGTGGGTCCCCAGGGTGGGCCATTTTCCCTGTTTGGGGATGGGGGAGGTGTGTGAGTGGGTTCCTAGAAATGCCACGCCCATCAGACACCCACCAACAGCCACCTCTCAGGCTGGGTGCATGTGACCAGGAATTCCATGGAAAGCAGACATCTGGCTAACGATTCCGCTCCCGAGGCACCAGCCCAAGCAGAGGAGGTGGGCCTGGCTGCTTGTCAACAGCATGACTTTCCTCTCTGAGTCTCAATCTCATCTGGAAAATGGGGATCCTCTGTACTCAGGGAACTGGCACACAGAGGACCCAGCGGCCACTGTTTAGGCCCGTCCAGGCTTTGGCCTTCCTGTATGGAAGCTGAGGAAGCAGGGGTCCACACTGGATCTCAGGTCCCCCTGGCCTTCCTGAGGTAGTGTTTGGACACAGGATCTGTCCCTGGAGAGCTGTAGGGCTGTTTCTGGATCCTGGACCTACAGATGGTTTTGCCAGAGAATTCAGTTCTCCACAGGGGCTGTCTGGTGGGCTGTGTGTTCAGCAGCACCCCTGACCTCTACTCACTGGCCGCCACCGGCCCTGGCAGCAAGACAGCCAGACCTGTCTCCTGACCCGGCCAATGTTCCCCCTGGGGGAAGGGGGGGAGGGTGTGGTCCTGGGTGGAAACTCCTGCTCCAGAGCAGGGCTTCTAATCCTCACACTGGAAGGAGTTATTTTCCATTTTCCTAAAGATACAATACCCCAAGTGGGAGTTCACGGAGGGTGGAGTGGGGGTGGGGCTGGGGGTCAGGCGAAGATGAGCTGCAGAAAGGGGAAGCAATGGCTGATCCACAGCTTGTTAACTACAAGGTGCCTGGCGGCTGGCCAAGGAGGGCACAACAGTTCACAGCTTGGTTGGGAGGACAATCTCCCAGGGTAGACTATTGTCATGTCTTTCAATACTGAAAAAAGGAAAAATGAGCTAACTGTTGATCAATAGGAAGTGGTTAGAAAAATTATGGTATGTCCATATATAGGAATACTATGCAGTTGTTAAAAAGGCCAAATATCACATATCCTGACATGGAAAATATCTGCTCCAGAGTTAAGAGGATAAAAAGCAAGCCCCAGTATAGTACAGTGTTAGAAATGTGTGCTTGGATATAAATAGCAGCTCCTTCACACACTCAAGTTTTATAAAATCTAAGTTTCAGTTTCCTCATTTTGAAAAAGAAAATAATGACACCTAGTCCTTGGCTGTGATGCATGGGAAACATGGAGTGTGGTTCTGGCACACGGTAAGCCCTCAACAATGGCAGGATTACAATGATGCTAGTGAGGGCAATGATGACATTAGAGTAACAACTACTGGTGGTTCCTTTTACTTTTTTATTTGTCTGTGAGTCTCTTGCTGGACATCAGGCTGAGGGCCCCTTGCATGCTAAGCACATCTCTATCACTGGGCTGTACCCCCAGCCCCCATGGTGATTCCTTGTAGACAGATTTCTTTTTTTTTTAGCATAGGGTCTTTTCCTCCTTTCCTTCTCTTTCCCTCCTCCCTTCCCTTCCCTTCCCTTCCCTCTAGTAGAGATTAAAAGATGGAACTACTTTGTTCAGGATGAAGATAAACTGTAAAGTATTGTGCATGGCTTTGTCAATTACACACAGTTCTATCCTTCAGCCTCGGCTGGGAAAATTCACAGAGGTCTTCCCTATAAAGTTTGACTGGGATCCTGAGATGACCTGACACATCTTAAATCAATAGCTGGGGATTGCTTCCACCCAACTCTCCAGAATAATGACCCCCGTTCCCTCCCGGTCCTTGAAGGGTCACTATATTTTCTAAATACTTCAAACATTAGGAGTATTTTAATTTCCTCTCAGAGGAGTTGCAGCAGAAGGAATGAGGAGAAGTCAAGAGTGAAAAGTGTTAGGATGCCAGTTATGAGGCCCTAGGACAGAGATGAGGCAGAGGGGCGTCTGGGGCCAATCCAGGGTGGGGACAGGCACGAGGGTGCAGGGAGAAAGGAAAGGGAGGGTCCTCGAAACAGATCATGCAGCTGCCAACCCAACACCATCTCGAGCCAGCTTCCCTGGGCCACCCCTTCCCACCCTTCCCTCCATCCAAACAAAGCCACCTGCTTTCTCTGCCACCTCTGTGCAGAGACCCTCGCGGTGCCACTGTCACCTTGCACTTTAGTCATTTACCGAGCCCTTTCTAATCTTCCTTACAAATCTGTGGTGTCGTATTTTCCTCCCTATTGACCTATAAATCTGAGGGTAGCAACAGCACCTTTACCAGCCAGGGGAGGAGATCTGATAACAGATGCAAACAGCTTATCCCTGTCCCTGGCACAAAGGAAGCTCTTAATAAGAATTAGAGGTACAAAATTTTATTGTTATTTCTTTTTTTTTTTTTTTTTTTTTGTACTGGGGAATTGAACCCAGGAGCGCTTTACTACTGAGCTACAACCCCAACCCTTTTTATCTTTTATTTTAACACAAGAGTCTCACTAAGTTGCTTAGGGCCTTGCTAATGAGATCCTCCTGCCTCAGCCTCCTCAGCCGCTGGGATTACAGGTGTGTGCCACCATGCCTGGCATACTAATTATTTTTAAGCACTAATTTCATTCTGCAAGGCCCTTGACAAACTGAAGTGGTAACCCATGTAATAGGGCTCATCACCCCATTTTATAGGGAAGCCTGAGGCTAAGGTGGTAAGTCACTTGTTCAAGTCCCGAGGCCCTTCGGTGGTGGAGGCAGGATTTGAACCCTGTCTCTCTGATGCTAGAGCCTTAGGGGCAGCACTGGTGGCCAGCACTGTGGCTCAGCTTTGTTATTTCCTTGTTCCCACTGCCACCTGGCGACAGTCACACCATCTTTTGTGAGAGGCCACAGTGAGAAACCATTTTACAAAGACAAAGCTGAGACCCAGAGAAGGGAAATAACTTGCTCAAGGCCACAAACTGGTCATGGGACGTGCTAGGGACAGATGTCTGGGCTCCAGCCTCTAGGGCCCCTCCTGTGTTGTCAGGAGCCAGCTCAGGCTCAGAGGGACAGTCAGTGAGTGTTTGATGACTAGAAGTTCGGGGTGCTTTATGGGCACCGTGCCTGTCTGACCTCCACCCTGCTTCATAGCCCAGGAAACACACCTGTACAGGGAACAGCCAGGATGTACCTGCCTTGCACAGGCCAAGACACCTTTCCCAGGGCTGGGATTATGGCTCAGCGATAGAGCGCCCGCCTCGCACAGGTGGGACCCGGGTTCTATCCTCAGCACCACATAAAAATAAAGGCATTGTGTTGGTCCATCTACACCTAAAAAATAAATATATATATAAAAAAAGACACCTTTCCCAGCATCCCTGGGAGAAATAGAACCTCTTCCTGTTTGAACAGCCTGGGGTGAGGTTCCAGGGTATTTTACAAATGCTATATGCCCTGAGACCCTCCAGCTGGTGCCCAGGCTGGTCTGGTGAGAATGTGCTGGAATTATACAGCTCACTAATAACTGGCTAACCTTGGAACCTTCCATGAAAAGGAAGGTGGACAGTCACCTGTGTCAGGAAATGTCATTCAAACTGTGGCTCTGTGGCAGGAGCCAGGGGACCAGGTAGCCCTGGGTCCCAATGCAGGACCTGTCAATAACTCACTGAATCACCCTAGCCAAGCCCCTTTTTCCATCAACTAAATGAAGTCTTTTTTAAATTGAAATCTTACAGAAAAGCTCAATATAGAAAGCTAGTAAAAGCAGTCAGGTATGGTGGGGAACGTCTATAATCCCAGCTGCATAGTAGGCTGAGGCAGGAGCATCACAAGTTTGGAGTCTGCCTCAGCAACTAGTGAGACCCTGTCTCAAAATAAAAAATAAAAGGGCTGGGGATGGAGCTCCATGGTAAAGCGCCCCTGGATTCAATCCCAGATACACAAACACACACACACACACACACACACACACACAAAATAGTAAAGAAAGATGTGTTTGAGGGAGATCAGCCAGGTAGAGATTCTTCTTTCCACTTGGTAATTGAGGCCCTGAAAGGCTAAGCGCTTAGCTGAGATAACTCAGAAGAGGCCACATGATCCCATAGCAAATCGTAAAGACAAGTGGAGCCTGCAACCCCACCACCTGTCCCTGGGCCTCTAAAAAGAGCAGATGGCCCCGCCCCATCTCAGGCAGGGTGAGGCCCACTGGGGAGGGCCAAGCGGTGCCTCCACCCCTCGGTCCCCAAAGCCACGCCCACAGCTGGGGTTGGAGCAGCTGAGGAGGGAGAAGGCGTGGCCAGCTCTGGGAGCTGGAAAAACAATAAATGCTCCAGGATCTATCTCTTGGAATGGATCCTAGAGAAGTAATTATGGGTGGGAGCAAATATTTAGCTCCAAGGATGCTTACCCAATGATAAGCAGATTAAATCCATCATGGACAGACTGAATACATCCTGCGTTATGCACATGTTGGCAAACCCTGCACCCACTAAGAGACGCTGTATGAGAAGCTGCAATACTCGGGAGAGGGTCATGATGTATTTTCAAGTGAAGAAAGCAGATTAAAAACAATTGCTTATTATGATCTAAATTTTGTAAAGATACTTCAATCGGATATAGAAAAATAAGTGGAAAAATGTTAATACTTCAGGCTAAAAAACTAAGGATTTTTCTAGCTTTTTGATAGTTTCTTCTTGAAAGAAACTACCTGTTGAAATAATAAAATTACAGTGTTAACCATCCCTTATTAAAAAAAAATTCAGGCAGGGCCTGGTGGTGCACACCTATAGCCACAGGTGCTCAGGAGGCAGAAGGACCGAGTTGGAGGCCAGTCACAGCAACTTAAAAAGGTCCTAAGCAGCTTAGTGAGACCCTGTTTCAAAACCAAAAAAGACTGGTAGAGCACTTGCCCAGTGTGTGTGAGGGCCTGAGTTTGATCCCCAGCATGGGTTTGGGGGGAAAAAAAAGAAACAACAGGGAAATATTAGATACCCCCCACCACAGTCCTTTCCTAGGATGATTCAAGTTTTCCTATTTTGCTTTCCTGTATTCTCTACATTATGCATAACAAACATGCATTGCTTTGGTAAACTTGCAAGAGAAAATACGATTTTACCAAGAATAAATGTCACTGAGCTGTGGCCTGACTGGACCCTGAACAGAGACCTCGGAAAACAAGAGGCGCCTCTGCTTGGGAAGAATTGGTCACTGGGTGCCTGAGGCCCCTCCTGTCCCATGCCATCCCAGTCGCTGCATGGAGATGTGCAGCACGGTGTGCACACAGGAAGCCTGGCTGTGACACCAGCCCGCCCCCCCCCCCACGTTAACTACATGTTGATAGACACCACCTGGCACCGAGGAGTGAGGAGCTGGCAGTGTGAGCCCCAGCTCTGCGTGACCTTGGGCAAGTGACTTAACCGAGTCCCCAGTGCCTCCTCTGGTAATGGAGACACTAACAACCCCTCACAGGGCTGGGTGATGCTGATTCAGTGGCTGGCATGTGGGGATGTTCCGTCCCCACCCACAGTGGCGCCACCTAGCAGGCAGTCTGAGGCGAGCATCCTGGGGTCCCTTCCTTGGGTGGTCTTGTGACCCAGACCCAGAGCCCAGCCAAGCCTGGGCATAAAGCACCCGCTGCAAGGGCCTCCAGACAGCCAGAGGCCACGTGCTCTGGTGCCAAGTCCCTGCAGTACTTAGGGTCAGCTGGACATCCAGCCTCCTGCTGCGTCGCAAGCATGGCCTCCTGGACAAACCGCCCACCGCGGCCACTTACATCCGGGCTTCGTAGTCCTTCCAAGCCTTCTCCAGCTGCTTTTTGGAATCCTGTAGTTTAAAAAAGAACAATTTGCCCAGAAAGAAGCTTGAGTTCCACAATAAACAGGACACTCTGCCTTCAGGGGGACACTCGACCTTCAGGGGACCCCAACCCTGCATTCCCTGGTGCTGCTCACAGCCATTCTCCGGCCCGACTACAGACCTCTCCCCCGAGGAGGCCCAACTGGCACCACTGTTCAGGGCTCCACGCCTTCTCCCACCCAACTGTCTCCTCCCCAGAGCTGCAGGAATCAGGGTGGGTGGACCCTGGCCAGGGGCATGGGAGACTTTTGGACTGTGTCTTGTCACTCAGAAGATGGAGATGAGCCATAAGAATAGGGACGGGAAGATGAAGGTCAAACTCCTGACCTAACTTTTGCCCATCATTTTCTCCTGCCTGGTACTCTTTTCGGGAAGGGCACAGGTCAAAAAACATATGCCCAGAGAAGTTGAGAAGTCTCCAGAAGGCCACACAGCCAGCCAGCAAGACCTGGCTGACCCCCTGGCTCATCTGGACCTCCTCCAGCTGGGTTGCTCACACCCTTCTGAACAGCCTTGGCTTCTAAGAAGAAAAGCCACTTGTCTGGTTTGGGTAGTTCCCAGGCTGGTGCGCAGCCTAGGGAGGGAGGGAACCCTCTCAGGGGAGTATGGCTCCTCCCTGGGCCTTTTGGCACAAACTGCCAGGGAGATCATCGTCACCTTCTTTGAACTCTACGCTGCACTGATTTGGAGTGTCAGGCACACAGACAGCAGCTCTGGCAGGGGGTTCAGGGTCCCTGGAGTCCCACCAGCTCATCCAGGTGCCGACCAGGCGCACCACAGCAGCTCTCCCTCCGCAGTCCTGCAGAGGAGGCCCCGGCGCCTACAGAACCACCTCACGCGCCCTGGTCAGAACCGCAGGAGGCATCTCACATCAGGGGCCTGGCAGATGGTGGGACTGTCCTCCCAAGAGCAGTGGTATGGGGGTCACAACTCCCACCGTGACCGCCCTCATTCACCTTCAGCCTCAGCCTTCAGCCTGCCCTGCCACCCCGAGGTCTCCAGGGCACCCCCTTCCCTGCACCCGCCCTGCTCCCTGCAGGCTCACCTGCCGCCCGTCCCTCAGCGGTCCCTTCATCAAACTGTCCAGAGGGAAAGAGACAATGTTGTTCAGGTTCTGAACCTGGAAAAAGCAGAGACCCCCCACCGCACCTTGGGTGACTCCTGCCCTGGCCCAAGGGCTCAGAGCACAATGAAGCGTGGCCAGGAAAGGGCAGCCACGGGTGCAGGAAACAGGGATGGAGGGCAGAGGGGGTCACAGGGGTGTCAGGTCAGCACCCCCACCCCGCCTCCTGCTCCAGGACGTCCCACAGCCAGACTCCTCCCTGCTCCTTGCCAAGGGCCTGCCCACCCCACACCTCCCCTGACTCTCCGTGGCCTGTGGGGGACTCTGCATCTCCCCTTCCTACGGGAAACCCTCTCCCTGCAATCAGACGGGGTGACAGAGCCAGTCTGACCAGAGCACCGTCCTGGGCTACAGCGACCGGATCAGGACACCACCCTGGGCCAGGGGAAGGCTATCCTTCTGCTGATCCTGGGCCGTGGGGTCGTCTTATCTACTGGGCAGAGACAGAGACACCAGAGAAAGGGACAAAGCCTAAAGCCAGCTGCATGGACTCCCCTTCCCAGGGGCAGTGAGTTCCCTGCTTAAGAATTAACCTACTTTGAATTGGTGTCTGTATTTGGCAACCCAAAGAAACCTGTCTGATGTTTTAGCCCAGCTTTTGGGGTGCAGTCCCGCTCTTCCAGGAGGCCTCTGTGGACCGCCCGGGGCTGCCCGCCCTTCCCCACTAGGCTGACCCACTGCTGCTGCTCCCCACCATCCCTTGCCTCAGCTCTCATCTCCCCAGAGGGAAAGATCATGGCTCTCAGAGGCAGTGTCTGACTCCTTCCTGTGCCACCGGCCCCTAGGACAATGCCCAGCCAGATGCAGACACTCAGGGAAGCCGAATTGGAGAGGAGAGGTGAGGTGAAGGCAGAGGACACGGTCAAGGGCTCTGTGCGAGACCCTCTATGCAGAGATTTGATCATGACAGTTGACATGCTGGCCACCAGCCACTGAGTGCCAGCTTGCCGTGGAACCTGCTCCATCCTCACTACCACTTTGAGGTGGCTGTCACTGTCATCCCATTTTACAGATGAGAGACCTGGGGCTCAGGCAGATTAGGTGACATGGGACATGCGAGCAGCAGAGCAGGGTTTCCGAGCCAGAGCTGAGCCCAAGGCCAGGTGCTTGACCACAGGGCACCTGCCTCTTGGAGGTGACCTAGCCCCTGCAAGCCAGGAAGGACGTGGGGCAGGACTGGAGCAGATGACCAGGGCCAGGAGCCGGCAGGGAGGGGAGGCTTTCCTGGGGGCAGCACAGGGCGGGGCTTAGGCGGCAGCCAGACAGCCTGGCTTCAGACCCAGCAGGCACCTCGGGCAAGCTGCCCAGCCCAGTCCTAGTCTGTAAAGTGGGGACAACAGTAACGCCAGGCGACAGAACCATGCCGGGATCAAAGGACCTCACTCACTAAGAAGCGGGCTGGTCTCATGGGGTGGCTTCAAGCAGGAACTTAAAGGACCAGGGGCCTTACCCTAGAGGCCTTCGGGAAGGAACCAGAGGCTGCTGGGCCTCGTGCAGGGGCTGAGGACTAGTTCGAGGATTTGAAGATGAAGCAGAAGCGACTGGGGAGGCAGAGGACACAGTGTGGGAAGAGAGGTGGCAGTGGTGATAGAGACAGGAACCTGGAGCCTGTCCTTCCCTGACCCAAAGCTCCCAGGGACCCCTCCCTTGCATGGGGCTCTTCCCCGCCATGAGACCTCTCTGCCCCTGGGTGGAGAGAAAGAGAGAACAGAGAAGAGCTGGGCGGGAAGCTACAGAGAAAGGAGGCGTGTGCCAAAGCTGGGTGAGCAGGAGGGGTCAGGGGTCAGAGGCCAAGGGCAAACCAGAGGAGGGACTGACTCTTTCCTGGTCAGCTTCTTCCCACCTCTGGATTTACCCTGGGCTGAGGGCTGGTGAGGAAGGAGCAGGGCCTCACCAGGTTCTTGAAGAGTGCGGCCACCTCACGGGTGAACACGGCCAAGTTCAGAAAACCCGTGGACAGTTCGTGGCTGTTCTGAGACAGGTGACTGTTACCCAGGGACTCCACGGCCTCTCGGTACTGCTCCTCGTTCTCCACGTGGCCTGCAGAGGAGGACGGGAGCTCAAGAGCTTGCTGGAGGCTGGGCGGTTGAGCCCCAGGGGCCTAGGCAGGCTCGCTCACCCAGGCCAGAGCTGTGGATGGCCCGCACAGCCTTCTTTATTCTCTGCAGGATGGCTTGGTCTCCTTCCAGGACCTGGAAGCAAATGTGGAATGAGGGTCAGCATGCTGACCAGGAGAGGGTGCTTTCCTCAGGAACACCCAACTCCACCATCCTACCCTCCAAACCCCTCCCTAGGGCTTCCCTGCACCCCCACCAAACATAAACAGACCACCCTCTTCCACCGGACCACACAGAAGGCACCGGCCAGCCACACGACCCTAGGAAGATCACAGTTCTCTCCCAACCCAACGCCAGTCAAGTAAACAGCGAGTCAAAGGTTCGAAGGTGAGTGGCCCAGTGGGTACTAGGCCTGGGTTTGAATCTTGACTCAATCTAGAGTCAAGATTATCTTGTCCAAGCCTTAAGCGCCTTGTCTGTAAAATGGGGCTGACACTACAGGTTCTCGGAGTTGCTGGGAGGATCCATGATTTGACAAATGTGTACAGAAGGCTTAGCAAAAGACCAGAGGAAGAATGTGGACAGCCCAGCACTTCTGAAAGACGGGGGAACATTTGTTCCCTAATCCTAGGCTCAAGTAACAGTCATGTGAGCACCAGGAGAAAGAGGCCCCAGGACACCCTGGGTGGACAGTGGGCGCTGGACACATTCAGGACCTGGGTCATTCCATTCCCACTGGGGAGCACTGGGGAGATGACAACCCCAGAGCGCAGGGATGCAGAGTGACTGTGCAACCTGGGCCAGAGGACGTGAGGGTGAAGCAGACCACAGCCCAAGGCATGCGCATCCCAGATGGGAAACTTCCAGACTGCCCGCCTTCAACAGGACGGGAAGCTGCAACTTCACGAAACCCTCGTTCACGACAGTTGACTTGGAAAGCACAGAAAGTCAGGGCCACAGACAGGGAAACTGAGGCCAATAGAGAGGGCTCACCCAGAGTCGCGGGGGCGGAGGCAGAGCTGGGTTTCCGGGCACCCTGTGTGGTGCCCCATCTTATGCCATGGCCCCACGCTGACGCCAGCCCCTGCTCTTTGTCCAGTGGATGAAATGGGATCAGTTTGATTTCCGAAGACCTACTTCAGTGTGGCAAGAGGCATTGGGATGGTATCTCCAGAGACTAGATGAGCACAGGGCGGACTTGGAGGCTGTATGGAGTGTTCCCTGGAGGCTTCTGGCTTGTGCAAAGCCTCTGGGGAAGGTGGGGAGGGGTGTCTGATTTTGAAGCCCCACCCTGGCCGGATGCTGGGTGACCTCTAGCAGGTTGTCCTTGGTCCCCACCTTGAAACTTGGAAAGCCAAAAAGTGGTTGATTTAAGGAGTTATGACATCACTCCAAAAGACAGCAGCAGGTTAAACATGTAAACAGTTTCCAGAGATTTAGGGAAATCCCTAGAGGGTAGATCCTTGTGCTTAACACACAGAAGAGGCTCAGGAAATGTTTACCTAAGTGAATGACTGCTGGAAAGGACGTGTTGAGGGTGGAGGAGCTGGGTATATATGGGAACTCTGACTTTCTGTAAAATTTCACTATGATCCTAAAACTGCTCTAAAAGATGAAGCCTATTTAAAAAATATATAAATAAAAACAAAGGAATGGAGTGGTACCTCTGTCACCCCTCTCTTCTGGGCCCTAATGCACTTGTGATGTCTGGAGCCCAGGCAGCCATCTTGGACCAGGAGTTTGAAGCCATTTGTTGTGGATGGTGAGGCAACAAAATAGAAGCTTTGCTCTTGGTGTTTGAGGGGCTGGCCTCGCGGGCCTGGACTACCTATCTGTGGACTTCTTTTATGTGAAAGCAAAATAAATGTCTTTCTTACTTAAGCCACCCTTACATCTACCAGGTATTCTGTCACTTGTGGTTGAACCTATCTAGATCTGGTACAGGCAGGCTTATTCACTCAGGAACCTTTCTTGATGCCCTTGACAGACACAGATAAGGAATGGTTCCCGCGAGACACTGCTGCTGTTGCTACTGTTGTGGGGGGTTTTTAAAAATTATTAGTTGGAGATGGACACAATACCTTTTTTTTTTTATATATTTAATGTGGTGCATGGGGATCAAACCCAGTGCCTCACAGGTTCTAGGCAAGTGCTCTACCACTGAGCTACAGCCCCAGCCCCTCCCTACTGTTCTCCACAACCCAGGTTCAGTTTGTTCATTCATTCTTCATTCATTCACCTGGCTACAGAGTGCCTGGCTCTGTGCTCACACCCAGGCTGGTCTCGCTGTCAGGGGAGGAAGCCAAGGGAACAGACACTGACAGCGAGACGTGACCGGGGCTACAGTGGAGCTGCACACGGTTCCTGGGAGCACAGGGGAAGTGGGGCCCAGTCTTCCCTTAAACTTGACTTTAGGGCACTGGACAAGCAGAAAAGAGGGAGACTGCACTGGGAGGCAGAGTGGGGGGCTGTTGGTAACCTCTAAAGAAGGGGGATTGCTCTGGAAAGAATGGGCAAGCAAGCTGGGCACCAGGGCACACACCTGTAGTACCAGCTACTGGGGAGGCTGAGGCAGGAGGATCACAAGCTTGAGGCCAGCCTGGGTAATTTAGTGGACGCTGTCTTAAAAATAAAAAGGGCTGGGCTGGGGATGTGGCTCAAGCGGTAGCGCGCTCACCTGGCATGCATGCGGCCCAGGTTCGATCCTCAGCACCACATACAAACAAAGATGTTGTGTCCGCCGAAAACTAAAAAATAAATATTAAAATTCTCTCTCTTAAAAAAAAAATAAAAAGGGCTGGGGTTGTGGCTCAGTGGTAGAGGTTCACCTACCATGTGTGAGGCCCTAGGTTCAATCCTCAGCACCAAATAAAGATAAATAAATGAAACAAAGGTAAAAAAATTTTTTTAAATAAAAAGGGCTGAGGATGTAGCTCAGTGATAGAGTACCCCTGGTTTCAATCCCCAACACCAAAAAAAAAAAAAAAAGATCTGCGCTAAGACAATATAGTTTTAGGGAGGAAATTCCATCAGTAGCCTGGGGAAAGGGAAGGTATTTGGGGAAAAGCAGAGGGGTTTCCAGAACTCCAGGGGGGCTCCTTAAAGGGGTTGAGATTCTAGTTCCAGCCCCTCCCCCAAAGATCTCTGGATAGTCAGTTCTCTTCTTTAAAATGTTTTTTAAAAATAAAACAATAATGGGGCTGTGGTTGTGGCTCAGGGGTAGAGCGCTCGCCTAGCATGTGTGAAGCACTGGGTTCGATCCTCAGCACCACATATAAATAAAATGAAGATACTGTGTCCACCTAAAACTAAAATAAATAAATATTAAAAAAAAATAATAAGGGGGAAGAAATCTATTTTCTGCCCAATTCACAGAAGCCCTGAGAGGGTCGTCTGCAAACACGGAGCCGTGCAGGGCCAGGCCTTTGGAAGGCAGAGTGTGTCTCCAGTGGCTTGTGCACTGCCCCGTGGAGACAGCTCTCATCGCCCACACCCGAGAGTGGCAAATTAGGGGGGATAAATCAGCCTCCTCCGGATTCAGGTGGGGCCATGGAACCCCCGACAGCCAGTGGTTCTCAAAATGGTGTCCCAGTTCCACTTGGCAGGGACGCTGGGCATCACCACTGCTAGAAATATGGAGCTGGCCCCAACTACCCAGGTTATTGGCACTGCAGCTCCATCAGGTAGCTGTCAGGGGACCTCTCTAGACCTCAGCTTCCCCACTCAGGAAATGGGGTGAGAATAGTTTCGACACAGGTCAGGCTGGTGGGGAGATCTATCATTTGATAGCTAAAAATGTTCTCTATTTCAAAATTGAATTTGGTTTAGGAATTACTCAACTTGCCTTGAGCTAATAAAACATAGCGCCCAAACTCCAGTGATCCTCTCCAGCAAGATGTGGGATCACTGGTGCAGAGGGTGCCACTGAGTGCAGGAGGTTACCCGTCCCAAGACACTGCTCTGAGCCACGCATCTTACCGGTCACTCTCCTGGCCATGCCCACCCACCATGAAAGTGCTAGAAGAAGGCAGCTGTTTAGGTCACACAGAGATAAACAGCGGCAGAGTCACCATTTAAACCCAGCACCTGCCAAACCCAGGACCAATGTTCTTTCCACAGCTAGCCACCCCACAAAGGTTAGGGGGCACGGCTTCTTTGATCCTGGGACCTGATTGCCTGATTGCCTCTGAACCTCAATCCCAACTCCACCACCTGGCAGTGCTGAGCCGGCTACGAACACTACCTCCAGAGGCTCTCCTGCAGAATAGAAAAGGAAAAAAGTCAGAAGTTCAGGTTGGCTCTGGAGAGGCTTCCAGGACTGAGAGGTAGAAGTTAGGGAGACAGAACCAGCTCAGAGAATGTTCTCAAGGAAGTAAAAGCTACCCTGGAAGGAGTGAGCGCCCCAACTTGCAGTGCGAGAGAGTCTGGAGTAAACCGACGGCCACCAGGTTTCTTTCAAGGCTGAGTCAAGGGCTGGGCAAAAACCTGAGCAGGCGCTGGGCAAAGATGGGTGAATGCAGAGCGTAAGGGACATGTCTGAACTTGGAAAGCCCTCTGGAGTCCTTTGGGCAGCCTAGCCTGGCTGGCCCAAGACACAACCTGAATTCCAGCTGCTGGCACTGCCCTTTGTACCCTCACTCCATCAACCAATGCACGCACACACGCATGCACGCACGCACACACACACACGCACACACACACACCAGGCTCTGGCTCTTTGGTTTGTGCTCTCAACAGGCAAAAGACCACAGATGGCAGCACTAGGCCATGCCCAGCTGCCCTGCCTGGAGGGCCTTCTGCATGCCCCACTCCTGGGTCAGGACGCATCAATAGGACCCATTCTTCATTCCTGTGGTTTCTCAGAGCCAGCTGTGGTTACCATGGCAACTCAGCCAAGGGAGCAGAGCAACTAGTGCTAAGGCCTTGGGAGATGCAGATTAAGTTTTCACCATTAGACATTCACTCCTTTGGACCATTGTAACATAGGGCACAGGCACCACTTTGCCATCTCCCGTGACAATGACAGCCATCAATAATCAATCACAGTCTTTTTCCCTGTGACCCTGGGTTTGGTTTATCATCCTGCTAAGAAGGTTCTCCAGGTAGCCTCTACCAACTACACCAGAACTAGTATA